GTATCCTGTATCCTGTATCATGTACCCTGTATCATGTATCCAGTATCCAGTATCATGCACCTAGTATCATGTACCCAGTATTTAGTTTGTATATATGTATGAAGCCAATTTTTTACAGATTGATTCTTGCTGAAGAAGTTTAAACCCTCTTACATGAACTGAACACAAAGGACAATGAATGAAAAATTGAATTTTAAGGTTTTTTTCAAAAATGGGATTTTTTTCGAAAACTGTACTGAATGTACAGATTTTTTAATTAAATGTACGGATTTTTAAAAAAATGTACGGATTGGTTTAAAAAAATGTACGGATTGTACGGATTTAAAAAAAAAAATTACGGATTGTACGGATTTTTTTTTCGAAAATTGTACGGATTGTACGGATTTCTTCTGAAAATGTACGGATTTTTGTACGGATTTGTTCAAAAAAGTTTTGGCCACCCTGTATACAATGTATTAAGAGATTATTTCCAGATAAAGGAAAAAACAATTTTCTTAAAGGTACTTTAAGCGTAAGTGGCAATTTGCATAACAAAGATGCAACTGGCAATGACCGATTAACAACGGCAACCTTGACACCTTAAACTGAACAAAACTGTGGAAGATACCGTCATTTTACTGACTTAAAAAGCGTTTATTTTTGATAACTTCTCAAAAATCTCTTAATTGCAACAATTTTGCAAGTCACTTTTGCAATGAAACCGCAAATCGAAATGAACAGTTTTAAAGAACAAAAACATTTGATATTTAATTCATACTTGATTAGCCAAATCTTTTAAGGGTAGCGTTGTTTCGGGCATCGTCATCTTTGCTTTGAGGGTAACTTTGAATTACGCTCATAGTTCCTTAAGTCAATCTATAGAGATCCTCTGATGTGTGTTCACTTTTTACTTACCTTGTGTCATGATTGAAATAAAATGACTCTTGTACATAGATAATTTTAGTTTCGGATTTTAAAATTGTTGAGTTCTTGTTTTACAGTGGGTTCAAAACTCCGTCTGTGATCCTAAATGAGAAAAAATGAAAATAATGAAAATAATTTATTTCAGATGACATAAAGCCTTAAAAATGGCAATGGGAAGGGGTGTTCGAGTCTTCCATACTCCAGGTTTAAAAAAAATTCAATTTTACAAAATTGTTCAGTTTTTAATTTTCTGAGTAAATTTGGCTTTTTCCATTTTCAATTAAAGGTCAAGGGAAAAGAAAATTGGTATTTTTTATTCTAAATTTTATTATAAAATCGATAAACAGGCAATCTTTTCATAAAATCAGTTTTTTCTACCAAGAGTTACTTTTTTTATGTAATTGCAATAATATTTAATCCTTATTTTTCTTCTCTTAAATCAAAATATGTTTTGAACTAAAATAAATAATTCTTTTGGTAAATTTTGATTTATATTTATGTAAGAAATGTATCTCGTTAATTTAATTTATGTTGATTCAGGAGTGAGTCCCTATTGTGTTCTGATTGATCAACGTGGGGTTGGGAACTCACTGCTTTTAGAGTCACAAGCTATTTTAAGTCTCAGTAAGTACATATAAACTAGGCTTTTAGGGTGCTGCGTGTCCATTTAACACCAAACAACTTAAGCTTTCCACTGTTGCCTTTCAAGTCTCCAGTTTTTCTTGATTAAAAAAATTTAGAAGTTTGCGGATTTTTCCGTTTTGATGGTTACATTTTCAAAAAGGATAAATTTAGACATTTTTACCGGGCAAAATTATTCTAATTTGATGGTCAGTAAACTTTTGTTCTCGGATACAAACAAACAGACACCCAGACAAGTAAAGATTAAATATAGGTTTAGCACTACATAATCCACATACCAATTTTAAATCTTAAAAAGGACAAAAATAATGCGTTTTTCTGACGTTTTTTCTTTCCACCGAAAAAAAAAATGTTCTAAATGTTATCATTTATGAGCTGAGTTTTAGTATATCATTTTTGTATATCATTACAAAGACGTATAAAAAAAATTGACAATTTCCTAAATTTTTGAATATAAATTGTAAGTTTGTTTCTATTAATTCAGACATAAAACTAACCATCTATGTGTTGCACTTTCATTGCGCGCCTTTTAATAATGCAATAAGCGCAGCAGTAGAGTGTATAGAGTGTTCCCACCTATTAATAGATTGAAAAAAAACATAAAAAAACCAACTATAATGACATCTAAACAAGGATTGAGTGTTAAAAATCATCGTCCAAATGCAGATTTATTTATTTGATTAAAATCAGTGCTCCGGATCCGGATTCGTCGGATCCGCAAAGTTTTGGCTTCTCGGATCCAAGGAATCAAAAAAAACTGAAGAAAAAAAGCTTTTTTACTCTTAAAAACCCAAATATAAACTGTTGGAAAGGGAGAGAAAAATGTTTTCTTAAATTTTAGCAAAAAATATGAGAAATACTTTGACAATTCTGCTTTGTTAAAAGAAATCAGTAAATCTCAAAGAAATGTTCATGACCTGGATCCGAATCCAATTCCTTTATTTCTATTGCGAATCCAGGAAGACGGATCCGGACTGATTTAGTCAAGTAGTAAATTAATATCTGCATTTAAATGGTATATAAACTGAACTGTCAGGTCCTGATGCTGCGGACAAGATGAAAAGAGTTGAACAGTTTGTGAAGCATTCGGATGGATATGCTCTGCTTGGGAATATCAGGCTTAATACAGGTAAAGTAAAGAGGGTTACAGAAGTTAATAATATATTCCTAAAGTGTATGTATACCTCCCTAAAATTCTGATACTCTTATCAAAAAAAATATACAATTGTGTATTTAAAGTTCTTAAACCCCCCCCCCCCCCAAAAAAAAAGAAAGAAACTTTTAAAATGGGTCAATGGAACTTTAAAAGGCAAAAAAAAAACTTGAAAAATATGAAAATTTTTTCATAGCCTTCTGAACATTTTATTATATAAAAATATTCCGACTTTTGAGCATTCTCTTAGAATTCCAGCAAATGGTTAAAAATAAAAACCAAAACTAGATGTTTATTGTGTACAAGATTAAAGCTTTGAGTAAGTCCCGGACAATTAAGTAATATATTAAAATAAAACCAAAACTAGATGTATATTGTGTACAAGATTAAAGCTTTGAGTAAGTCCCGGACAATTAAGTAATATATTAAAATTGTTAAATTGCAAGTTTTTTGCTTTCCTGGGAGAAATATTTCAAATTTAAGAAAACATGACTTCACTCTAATGTACATTATTCGTTTACTGCTGAGTATTCAGACAATTGAGGAAAAAGAGGACGACATTAAAGCAATAACTAAGTGTATTTGATGTTGTTACAAAGAGAATAGTTTCACTTAAAACGTATTAAATCAATTATTAGTGAAATGGGTCTGTATTACTGTGTCTCATGCTTATCGGAATATCCAAAGCCAAAGATTGAGCATAAATGTTGTCTTCCAATTCCAGATTTTTCTGGTTCTACTGTACTATATTACACTTTTTTTAAATGGTATATTTCCGTTTTCTTTTAAAAAATTGGTTTTCTGCATTATTTACTTGTAGGAGATGGTGTACTGCATTATCTGGCCTTGGTGTCTGGTTGTGTCAGCGTTGGGAAACTGGCGCAATCCGAGGTAATCCATTTCTTAAAGGGACTGTTTACGTTATTCATTCATTTCTTAAAGGGATTGTTTACGTTATTCATTCATTTCATAAAGGGATTGTTGACGTAATTAATTCATTTTCTAAAGGGATTGTTTACATTATTCATTCATTTCTTAAAATGACTTTTGACGTAATTCATTAATTTCTTAAAGGGATTGTTTACATTATTCATTTATTTCTTAAAGGGACTGTTAGCGTAATTCATCCATTTCCTAAAGGGATTGTTTACGTTATTCATTCATTTCTGAAAGGGACTGTTGGCGTATTTCTTAAGTGATTTCATTTGTCGATAGGTATGTCCTATGTAAAGGTACTTTTACTTGCTTTGACTGATAAATATTGCAATAGCATACCCCTCTTGGAAGTTTAGGTCACTTGAAACTACAATCTACAGATCCTAAAGTTTTATCATTTAAAAGTGATTTGATTATTACTTAAGTACCATATGTATTAATCGGCAGATAAGAACGACCTGACTTAATTTTTTTATTGTCAATTTTGAACGCAACCAGTTTCTTGCCAGTTGACTTTGTGCAATTTGTTGAAGAAGAAAAATTGATATCTTGATTGATTGGTTTAGTGATTGCATAAATGGTCGATTGATTAATGATTTTTCATGCATGTTCCATGCAAGATCAGAAAGATTTACCAAACATTATGGAAAATAAAGTTCTGCCAAGAACTGTGTTAAGGTTATATTCGCATAATCTAATCTATCTAATCTAATCTAATCGCAAGAAATCTAATGCAAAGCTTAGAACTTGCTTTAATAGTCTCATGGAAAGACACACATCTACTTGTTAACATAGTTTTTACATGTAAACATTGTGAGATACTTTCAATCAAATACCTATGCGTATCTCTAGGCACATTAAAAAGAATCAAGCTCCCAATGGCAATTGCCCTGTGATTGTCATTGGTAGCAATGTCATCTAAGTTGTCCTTCACTATTGGCACTAATGTACACATTAGTAGAAAAGTAGGAATTTTGCCTGTATCGTTTGATTGATTTATTGGTTAATCTACTGACTAATCTATTAATTGATTAATTTATTTACTGTAGATCTACCGTGTAACTGATGTAAAGCTGATTAGTCTACGGGGATATACTCCAGACGAAGAAAGAGTCTCAGAGGTAATACAAAGGACTGTAAGCTTAATCTTAAATGAATCCATTGATGGTGGCAAGTCCGATTCACAACGGTGTGCTTAAAGGCTTTGTCTGATCAATTATGAATTATTTATATTTTTTCTGTTTAAAAAACCGCGCATTTCTTGTTTTTTAAACAATGGAGAAATTAACAGAATTAAACACTTTTAAAGCTAGAAAAACGAAAATCTCTTCCACATTATAGATCAGATTATGATTTGTAGTGAATTGGACTAAAAATTAAAAAGACTGTCCCTTGACATTTAAAATTACGCTGAAACTTATATTACTAAGGTTTTAAGATTTTTGATTATAGGTGGGCTCGGTACTAAAACCTTATGTTATTAAAATTCTCTGTGAGATCATTTGAAATACTAAATATTTTGTCCCGATCTTTTAAATTGTTTTAATTGGATCCAAACAAATCAATTAACAGTCAAGCTACTTAGATTAACCCCTGTCTTTAAAGTTTCCGTCATCATGGATCCTATCTATTTCAACCCAAACCTTCCTTATTACTAAATTAATGAAGAAAAACTTTTGTTTTCTAAAATCTATGTTCTGCTTTTCATTCAGATCGTGTTCTTTTTCCCATCATATAAATCACAGTGATACAACCTTTTTGACCACATTTCTTTAATTCTTTAATACTTTATTCCTTCAATTATATTAAACATTCTAACAATGCATTTGATGTTTTTACTATTTAATTTAAAAATTCCTGTTTAAATTATGAGGAAGTTTTTATTTTTTATTTTTTAAAGATAATTCCATTAAGTAATATATACATAAAAACCTTTTAGAATGGACAAATTTGGAATTATTTTTGCATTGGTTTTTCTATATATCTATATTTATAAAGTTTGTATGTCTCATTATAACTCATGAACCCCTTGACCAAAAAGCCTCAAATTTTATTTGAGTAAATCTGTAGAACTACGTGAGGTGAGTCTTCTTGGATTGGTTTAAAAGTTGTGCGTTTTGACCTTTGCATTGATAACTTAGTTTTAAAGAAATACTGGGTTTTTTAAAGGGACTGTAAAGGAAAAATGAAATTTAAATAAAAATAAAAGAAAACCTAAGTTTCTTAGGCTCCTCTGGGATATCGTCGTTTTCAGATTGGTTATGTATTTGCTGAATATGATCCGTTAAAGCCTACTTTTTTATACAGCATATTATATACAATATACATAGATTTTCGTATAAATTGGACACCGTTTTATATCATTTTATCGAGACAGGAACATCATAAAGAACTCTCTTGGGTCTTGATCAACTATTAAAATGCTTAGGTTTCAGCCTATACACCTCTTTAAGCTAGCATATAAACAATTTATTAATTGAGCATACTTGAAAAAAAAAATAATACTTATATATTTATTTTTTTCTTGTTCAGGTGAAGAAGTTGCTGCAGAGTGGGTCAGCTTACTTCAGCTGGTCAAACTCTGGTCAACCTGTTGACCTCACCCTGGCTGCTCAACGCCAGCTCCAGTTTAACCAGTCAGATTCTAGATTCTTCTGGTCAGTCTCCCCAAAGAGTTGAACAGTTTGTGAAGCATTCGGATGGATATGCTCTGCTTGGGAATATCAGGCTTAATACAGGTAAAGTAAAGAGGGTTACAGAAGTTAATAATATATTCCTAAAGTGTATGTATACCTCCCTAAAATTCTGATACTCTTATCAAAAAAAATATACAATTGTGTATTTAAAGTTCTTAAACCCCCCCCCCTATGAGATTTTGAAAGTAAAACACGGTAAGACCCAAGTAAAGCTCAAGTAAAGACCCGGGTTTTGGATGGCCTTGAGTTTAGTAAAAACCAACCATCTTGGATTTTTCTCTCTTTAACACTCGAGTCTTCAGTAGCTGATGATCGTAAATTTAGTAAAATCTTTTATATTTTTAGATTTAAATCTCGGGAATTATTTGTGGTGTCAAATTTTATTAAATATATAAGATCGACATACTATGAAAATAATGTATCTACATAAAGTTTGAATTTTCGAAATTTACATCTCCTTGTCACAGCTGATCTTACGGCATTCTGTTTGCTTCAGAGAGAAAGCTTGCTAAACAGTCTCTCATTGGTCGAATAAGAACCAATCCTGACTTGGGTTCTATCTTAGCCCGAGTTTGGGTTTTACTCGGGTTTAAGTGTTTAAAATCTCATCTCTGGTCAGTTTAACCCCCCCCCTCTCTCTCTTCATAGAGAGATAGAGAGCGATTTTCATTCTGTAAAGCGACCCTCCATTTAAAAAAGAATTTCATTTTCGATTCACTACAGTATCCTTTGGAAACTATCACTCGAGTACATTTAGAACTATTTCTTCATTTTTTTTAAAGAATATACCCAAAGGCACTTAACGGGTGCACTACAATGTGAAAATACACGTGTTTAAAATTTAACTTTTTAAATAGAGGGTCACTTGAATTTGTTTCTATAGTCCATTGAATGAGGGAGAAAGGTGGGTTTTTTTAAATTCTGAAAGGACAACCATTGTAATTTTCCTTCATTTACAGATTCACAATTTTTCCGTTTTAATCTATTTCTTATCAATTGTCCTTCTTGCAAAGTGTTTAACTAACATTTTCCTTAATTGTTATGAGAAATAAATTCGCAAGTCACTTTTATAAAGAAAACCCAATTAAATATGATAATTTTATCAAGAGAATAAGACCATCCTTGATTAAAGTGTTGTGAATAGATGCCCCACTTTTAAAATGAATAATAATAAAATGATTATTGCAATGATAATAATGATACTAGGAACCGGATGTTGTTCCTGCCGTATATCCGGGCTGGAGTTGATACTAAGCAGTGGCTGACCAAGATTATGTTTGGTAGTATTGAAATCAGGTATAGTTTAATCAAATATAGCTGCCCACCCCCTCTGGTCCAATAGTGTTTCGTTGAAAAAATTATTTGATGTGCGACACACTTCAGAATAATTTGGTCCGTCATTTTTGGCCCTTTCTTCCATTTTAGATTATTTCCTTTGGTGTTAAAACGTGTTTTTGAAGTAATATTGATGCCAGTTTATGAATGAATGCGTAGCCCGTGAAAAAAAAATTGAAAAAACATTTTTAAAACATATTAAAAAAAAATAGAATTTCGAAGTGTCCACAAACAATTCAGCTCATTCGGTCTTGCCGTTTGGCCGGGTATATGCAACATATATATATATATATAAATGTCTTGTTTTATTATATAGCTAAATTCTATAGAATTACAGTATTCTCCTAAATCTTTCTTAACTCCTATTCGTTTTTTTTTTACAATTACAATTGACTTTGAAGTTTGTGAAGTATCATTAATGATTATTTATTTTTCTTGTTCAGAACTGCCCCTCTTTTTTCCTTACATTTTATGATCATGAAAATAATGATAGTAATGATAATAATGATAATAATGATAATAATGATAATAATGATAGAAATAATAATGATAATAATGATAATAATGATAATAATGATAATAATGATAAAAATTATAATATTGATAATAATGATAATAATGATAATAATGAGAATAACGATAATAATGAAATGATGGTTATTATGATAATAATGATATATTTAGAACTGTGTATGTTGGCGCTAAACAAGCTAAAGCTGCAATTATTTCAAGATTAAGCAATGAGCGCCCTGGAACTAGGTAGGTTGCTAGTGCTGTTGTTGATCTTAAAGCTGATGCTAATGCCGTTGTTGATTTTGATTTTGATGTTGATGTTGATGTTGATGTTGATGTTGATGTTGATGTTGATGTTGATGTTGTGGTGTCGGTGTCGGTGTCGGTGTCGGTGTCGGTGTCGGTGTCGGTGTTGATGTTGATATTAATGGTATTGATGATTTTCTTGTTATTGATGACGTTGATGATGTTGCTCATGTTGATGTTGATTGATGCTGATGCTGTTGTTTATTTGTACAGGTTTGTAGTACGAGGTGTGAATGATGATGGGCATGTGGCAAATTTTGTTGAAACTGAGCAGCTTATTCAACTTGATCAGGAACAGTCAATTTTACAATTAATCCAAGATACAAATTTTCAAACCTATTTTTGATCTCCCAAAAGTGTTCATTCTCCCATGTGATTTTTTGGGTAGGGGAACGTTGGAGTGACATCAAAAGGCAAGTTTTTCATATTTTATGTAGTTAACTAAAACTGATTTATTTTCTCCAATTCAGGGAATAAAAACATAGAAAAGAATTGCGCTTCGCCAAAAATGATTTGCATAAGGCGGAATGACTTTTCGAGAAAATATTTAGCCCTGTTTCTCATTTACAGCTACTAACATCCTTCAATATAATCAAAACCCAAGCTGCTAAATAACTAAAAATTGTTTTTCTCGTTTTAAATTTTAATCTTGCATTTTGTTTGATTGATTAAGTGTTCAGGAGATAACAAGCCATGTACAGATTCGTGGTTCGGTTCCTCTGTTCTGGGAACAACCCGGAGTAAATGTAAGGGGTTTTTATCTCTTTTCATTCAAACCCCAAACTTTCTTTTTTTAATGAAAAGCAATAGTTTCTAAGGAAAGAGGGAAGGCAGGCTTGCCATAAGCCACAACATTTTCCCCTTCAATGCCTCAAATGTTGTGGCATGGATAAATGAACTGTTGTGGGTAAAGGCCGCCGGAAGACAAAAAAAAGTTTTCATCTGGAACTGGAGCATTGAATCAGGTCTAATTTTTACACCCTATTCACATGTATTCACAATAACACCCCCCACCCCTTCCTTCTCTTCTACCTCCTGTGGTGGTGTTGGGTTGGGTTGGATTTTATTTCATTTTATTTGAAAATTGAAACCATAGATTTTTACGATAACGTGTATGACTCTGCCAGCTAACTAGTATTTTCTCTGTATATTTAGTTAATCTTTTGTCAGGTATTTATGAACCTGCTGGGTTCAAGCCTTGTAGGCAGTAAGGAGGGAGAGGCAACATTATCAACAGCTTTTCAAACTCATCATAAAGGTAACGCATCAGGCACGAAGCATGCCGTCAATTAAGATGCCTTTGTTAATCCGCTGTGTTAAAATCAAAGATTATCTAACATTGGTAAACAGTGGTAAATGTTTGTATATTAGGGATGCAAAGTTTACAACGTGGTGCAGTAAATATTTTGCTTTCTTCTATCTATATTCTATATATTAAAGAAGACATTCGTAGCAGAATGGGCTGAAATTTGTTGTGGACACACATGGTTAGCCTGGGTGTAACATAGGCAAAACAAATTCTAAAATGTGTATTTTTATAAAATAGAAATTTTTTTCAAATATATTTTTTTAATTCCACGGGCAACTTTATAAAACTGCTTTGGTTAATAATTGGGATATACAATATACATTTTTTAAATGTAAATTTAATGCTATTTAGCTTAAGTTTACAATGAATATTTTTTTCCAAATTTAAAGGATTCTTTCAACTTTTAGGAGGAAAAATTACACAGAAATTTGATATATTTGAAATTTATCCGCACAAGTTCCACAGTCGCCACAAATTCTAGAAGAAATTCTTTGTTAAAGCATTTTTTTAAGTCTTCCATAAACATAAAACTGATTTTTTCTTCTTCAAGGCCCGAATTTAGCCTTACAAAAATTCTAGTAATTATTTTTTTTAAATAGTATAAACTCTCACTTTAGACTGAGAGTCCAAAATACTGCTTCCTCTTTGTATTCTAATTAATTATGGATCGAAACCAAATCAAATATTTGTCATTTTGATTTTTTTTCAGCATCCCACGATCATGCTGATGTTCCTCATGTACTCTATGATTATCATGTAGAGGGGGGTTCAAAGAAACCCGAGAAACTCGAAGCAAAGGTAGGACACTGGTTGGAAGGTTGGCTTGATTAATTGACTAATTGGTTGGCTCCTTGGTTGGTTGGCTGCTTTATTGATTGATTTTGATTGATTGATTTATTGATTGATGTTCTAGATTGGTGAGTATGTGGAGAAGCTGGGATATTTCTACTGTTCTGGGGGTAAACGGATTAAACAGCAGGACGGTGTTATCAGGTACTGTGGTAACTTGAAACTAGAAAATTGTGAAAATTATGTAGTTCTTGTTGACTTCGTTTATCTTTCAATCATAGAATGTCGCTTGAGATTTTTTAAATAATTGCCTTCAATATATTTTAGATATATCATTTTCTACCATTGCAAATGACAACATCTCTTGCGGCATTTCTTTAGTGAAAGTAAGAACGAAGATCAACGCCATTTATTCTTCAGTTTTCTGGTTAACGCTGTAGAAATATATAAATTATCAATTACAACTGATCAGTGCTAAAGATTGTGGCTTCCTGGATCCGCGGATATGCGGATCCACGGATTCAGATCCAAGGGATAAAATATCAATCAAAAACTGCAAAAAAAAACTTTTTTACTCCTAAAAAATAAAACAAAAAATTTGAAAATTATTTTTTGTTAAAAAAATCGGTAAATCTTAAAGAAATGACCTGGATCCGGACTATCATCCATTTTATTCCAATGCGGATCCAGGATCCGGATCTGCATCAAAATTAATTGGATCCTCAGCACTACAACTGACTAATTAATTTGTCTAGATCGAATTGTGCTGACTGTCTGGATCGAACTAATGCAGTGCAGTTATTCATTGGTAAACTTAAAAATAAAAAAATATAAAGTTTGCCTTTGTTAGATGTTCTTTGTTTAGTTTTTAGCTTATTTCACATTTTGAAAATAAATGTTTAGCGTTAAGATTTCCGTATTATCATTGTTGATTTGATTTGATTTGAAAAGTTCATTTTTAAAAAGCGCAAAATATTTTTAATTTGTTATTTCCACGTCTGTTTTATCAAAGTTTAGTTTCTGTTTATGACAGCTTAGTTTCTTTAACTAATTTCATAAAAGCGAATCACATTATAAAGTATTCAAAAAAGAGCAAATTGTAATAATTTTCAAGATAATTTTCTTAATAATTTTCAAAATGATTTTCTGAATAATTTTCAAAATAATTTCTTAATAATTTTCAAAAGAATTTCTTAATAATTTTCAAAATAATTTCTTAATAATTTTCTAAATAATTTTCTTAGATTTTTTTGATTTTTTTGATTTTTTTTAAAGATTGAATTTGTTTATTTCAGGTTTAAGAGTTTTGAATTCTCAACTGCAAAGTTTGAAGCTTAATGATAAAGAAAACATTGTATCTAGGTATCTATATATTTATACCTTGCTAGCCTGTCTGTCTCTTTTGTTTGTATCCAATTAACGTCAAAACGGCTGAACCGATTGGGCCCATGTGTGGGAGCTCATATGACCCGGGGGAAGGATTAAAATTGAAAATGATCAAAACAAAAATTAGCCTCCAACAAAATTCGATTTTCATTAAATAAAAAAACAGGAATTTTTTATTAAATCCGCGAACTTTTTTTTTGTTTTTGTTTTCAAATGTACACAAAGAGAAAATGTTTACAATAGAACTAGAAGATGCGCCCTGAAATCCTAGTAGAATAAATTTCCAGTCACTTCTTTTTTATCTTTTTCCCTCTAGCGTCTTTGTCACCCTTTATATTTCCTTATTAAAACTGGCAATTTTCTAGCACGCACTGCCTGCCCCCCCCCCCACCCCACCCACCTCATTTTTTTAGACCTCTGTGATTATATATGGCTGTCTTAACCTAACCCAACTTATTGATAAATTCATTAAAGGGACTGTAAGCGTAATTTCAAGTAACCCCCCATGCAAAAATGGCAATGCCTGATTAACAACGGTGCCCAAATGATATTAATGTTTATAGTTTTAAAAAATGATTATTTTCAAATGCGGTTGCTCTACAAAAGTGGCTTCATTCCTTTTTTGCTAGAAGGTTTTTCAATAACAAGTATATCCCTGTCTTGTTATTCATATTTTATGGTCTCTATTAAAATCAATTATCATTTTTGTTTTTTAGGTTTGAGGATGGCTATAAGCAGATGTGGGTTAACAACGGGAATTCTTTGAGTAAAATATACGCTGGAACTGGAGCATTGAATCAGGTCTAATTTTTACACCCTATTCACATGTATTCACAATAACACCCCCCACCCCTTCCTTCTCTTCTACCTCCTACCCCACCCTTCTCCACCTTCCTCCTCCCCTTCCCTGTCCCCTCTCAAAAAGGGTAATGCGACTTCCTACTGCTAAACGACCAATTAAGTATATATTAGTATACTTTCTTTTTATTGGACCTTAATTTTCTGTTTTCTTAAAGCTTAGTTTTCTTTTTTATTTGAGCTTAGTTTCTTTTTTATTCGAGCTTAGTTTCTTTTGATTTTGGAAGCTTTGTTTCTTTTTATTTAGTCTTTTTATTGAACAGTTTCTTATTTTTTAGTTTCTTTTGTTTGAAACTGAGTTTTTTAAAGCTTAAGATTAGCTCACTTTATATTCTGCAGAGATCAATAGTTTTGGATTTCATTATTTTCTCTTCTTTTTTGTTAAATCAATTTACTCCTTTCACTCTCTTAAATTTACAACATATGGTGATCAAATAATTGTGCAATATCAATATTTAAAGAACAATACGGTGTTCCATTATTATCCGTTGCTTTTAAACTATATTTTCCCTCACTCGGAGAAATAACTTTCATAAAATAGAAGTTAGAATTAGATGCAAAAAAATTCACGAGAAAAGGCTAAAATTAATTTCTAGAATGGTATTCCTTTTAATTGTTACAATCTGTTGGTAAGAAAGGAATTTTTTATTTATGAAATATTTTTTTTAAATTAAGTTTTCATGAGAAAATATTTAAAAACCTCCAAAGTTAGAGGTTGTGGGAATATTTCCCCTCAATTCCAAAAAAAAAGTTTATCAAAAAAAAAATGACGGTAAAAAAGAATATGTTTTTATTGTTAGGGTGGTTCCAAATTATTAGATGGGGCCAGATCTGCTGCTAGGACTATTCAAAACAATCTTCTGGATAAGGTGAGAAATATGTGTCTCAAAGAATTGATGGCGCTTCGCATCTAGGGTTTCCAAATAAATAGAAAATTTTGAATAAATCTGTTGTGAAAAAAAATGTGAAGTTTTCGCTTTCTTAAACAAAATTTATTTTCACGAAAGATTCGAAATATTCACATAATTTCCAGACTTTTTTGTTTATACATACATAAAACAAAAAGCGATTTTTATTAATCTAGATGATTGCAGCTCAAAGGAATAATGAGTGGGGGGGGGGGTTATTACCATGTTTTTATTGACATAAATTTCTTGCTTAAACAAACAAACGTAAATTGTAATTGTTGTAGAAAGTGGAGAAAAACTAGTTGTTGAGTATTTTGTGAGAATTCATACTTATCATGTTTCAGGATAAACAGGAAGCATTTGATTTACTGATTCATGGAACAGGAAGGAATACAGATTTTGCAGATAGGGCAAAACTTTTACTACCTCAACGATACTTTCATGGTAATATTAATAATAATAATGATGATATTGAATATGTTGGTAAGGATAATAATGATGATGATAATGATGATAATGATGATAGTAATGATGATAATGATGATAATGATGATAATGATGATAATGATGATAATGATGATAATGATGATAATGATGATAATGATGATAATGATAATGATGATAATGATGATAATGATGATAAGGATAATGATGATGGTGATGATAAAAATGATAGTAATGATGATAATGATGATAATGATGATAATGATGATAATGATGATAATGATAATAATGATAATGATGATAATGATGATGATGATAATAATGATGATAATGATAATGATGATAATGATGATAATGATAAGGATGATAATGATGATAATGATGATAATGATGATCATGATGAAATTTTAGCTCCTGTGCCTCTTTTAACCTCGGTTGTCAAGCGCTGGTCCGAATTTGTGGATTTTGTACCGCTACGTGTAGCTGTAGGTAGGTTTTTTACTTTTTTAAAAAGAAAATTCTTTTTCTGGAGAAATAATTGAATTCTTCCATGGTGTCTCCATTGGTCAATAAAGTTTTATTTCTGATCCTTTCGGGATTGTGCTGGAAAATACACTTTCTCTTTCTCTGATATTGTTGGCTTATCTTAAGATAATGTGTAAAACTGAATATTTATAGACGAGCCAAATTCTTTTTATAGATCCAACTTTTTCTGTGATTAATTGTAATTTTTTGAATTGCAGGAACCTACAATATCAACGGGGGCAAACATTTTAGATCAGTTGTATACAAGGTAGGATAATTCAGTGTACTGCAAACTGTACGTTTAAGTGCATGTATTGCAAAGTCTGCTTTGAATAAATAATCATATTTTTATTTTTCGGGAANTTCAAAGGATTAACAGTGTACTCTAGAATTTTAAGAATTTTAATTTAGGATGTTTCCTTGGAGAGTTGGCTGCTGGACGCACACAAGACTAGCAATCTTATTGATACAGGAGAGAACGAGGTAAATTAGCAATCTTATTGATACAGGAGAGAACGAGGTAAATTATCAATCTATTGATACAGGAGAGAACGAGGTAAATTAGCAATCTATTGATACAGGAGAGAACGATGTAAATTAGCAATTTTATTAATACAGGAGAGAACTAGGTAAATTATCAATCTATTGATACAGGAGAGAACGAGGTAAATTAGCAATCTATTGATACAGGAGAGAACGAGGTAAATTAGCAATCTATTGATACAGAGGAGTACGATGTAAATAAAAGTTCAGACTAAAGGGACTGTAGAGAAGACGTAATTTCCAGTGTCAATGCAATAACATTCATAGAGTGGTATGTTAGATTTACAGCAGCACCCTTAAAAGCTTTGCCTGTTTCAGAATGAATGATTGAGTTATTGAAAATTGATTATTTTCTTAAGTAGTTTCTCTTTGAAATTGAGGTGCAGATTTAGGCTAAAGAAACATGAGAATTTAACACTTCAGCTAAAACATTTTAGATTCGATTTATGTTGATTGGGTATCATTGTGAATCTGACATGGCACTCCATAATTGGAGGGTCACTTGGAGGGGCAATAGGATTTGAGGAGATGGTGGACTTAGACGCTAAAAATATCTATTATTTTAATATAATGTTTATCTAGGTTTCTGTGTACATCTACGCAATAGGATTTGAGGAGATGGTGGACTTAGACGCTAAAATAAATTTATAATTTTAATATAATGTTTATCTAGGTTCCTGTGGACATATACGCAATAGGATTTGAGGAGATGGTGGACTTAGACGCTAAAAATATTTATGATTTTAATATAATGTTTATCTAGGTTCCTGTGGACATCTACGCAATAGGGTTTGAGGAGATGGTGGACTTAGACGCTAAAAATATTTATAATTTTAATATAATGTTTATCTAGGTTCCTGTGGACATCTACGCAATAGGGTTTGAGGAGATGGTGGACCTAGACGCTAAAAATATTGTCAACGCGAGCAAAGAGAATGGAAAAGGGAATTACACAAAAATTCAAATAAACAAAATCAAAAGTAATCTCAATTTACACAATTGTCAGATGTTGAAGGACTTTAAATGATCAAATTTTTGGAATTTAGGAATTAAACCAATTAAGTCTATCTTACAGCTCAAAGTTTTTACTTAGAAGAACGATTTTTCTGTTAAAAAGTTCAACACAAAAATGGAAACCGTTTTTTAATGGTTTTTTTAGGTCTAATTTGATTTGATTTGTTTTGAATAGATCAATCTGATTTAATAGGATTCGATTTGGTTTGTTATGATTTGATTTGATTCAATTTAATTTGGCCTTCATTGACATCTTGAAGTTGAATTTTATTGTTCAATTTATAAAGAAGAAAATTCTGCAAATATTAAATTTTCACTTTTTCTAATATTAAGACACAAGTTGTGTATTTGTATAGAATGGGCTGTTGAGTTAGGCAAAACACTGTGTAGAGACGAGAAATATTGTCTTGTTACATTCCAGCAGTTGGTTGGGGTTTGCCTTTATGTGTTTGTCAGGTAGTCATTGACTTATCTTTTTTATTTTTATGGTTAGTCGAACTTAATTAGGTAGTCCCAAACGAAGAAAATTGAACTAATGCTTTGAAACATGATTGCCACATGTTTTTTATTAATTTTTTTTCATGTATGTCTTAAAGTTTTTGATCATTTATTTGTTCATTTGCTCATTTGTTCATCTGTTCATTTATTCATTCATTCACTCATTCACCTATTCATCCTTATTGTATTATTAATATTATAAATATTACATTTATTGTCATATCATTCATTCATTCATTTCGACTGTACTTAATATTTGAAAATGTAAATTAATTTATTTAATTAATTTATTTTATATTTAGGCCCCACCTGGCCAAATATATCAGGGACGTGTACGTGGATGATGTTAAAACAGGAATGGGAGGAGCAACAGGTAAGTTTACAAATTTTAATCAATTTTTGGAATCTTTCCCTTTAAAATGCAAAAAAAAACATTTATTGTTTCTTCTAAAAAAGTTTTTTGTTTTCAATGTCCTTATTTTCCATGATATTTTCAACCAAAGCTCTATTATGTTAAATTCTGTTATGTTCAGGAAACAAGGGTGCTGTGGCTATCTCCCTGACCTACAGGTCGTCTTCTCTGTGCTTTCTCTGCTCACATTTTGCCGCCGGACAGTCACAAATATCGGAGAGAAATAATGATTACTCAGAAGCAATAAAGAAGGTATTGCAGAATATATAATTTTAAATGATCTTAGATGATCTGGGCGGAAAAAATCTCAAAAGGAAAGATTTGTCATCCCTTTTGATAGGTTTACAAAAAAAATTAATCATTCTCTCCTAGGAATCATTCATATTCCCCAATTAGGCCAATAAAGTCCAAAAAGAAACTCTTTTGCACTCGACGCTAAAATAAACTTCTGAAAAAAGGGGGAGGGAAGATATATAGTATACATTGTCAACCGGAACTAGTACGAATGTGGGATGAATATTCAATATACATTGTCAGTGTCAGCTTGTCACAAAATTATTTACCTTTGGGTTTTAACAGCACTAACTTTATTCGTGTATATTTTGCAAATTATAAACGATTCCTCACAAAGGATGAGACTACAGAGACCAAAGTACTGCATTTTATTCATTCATTCTTCTGACATTAATATTCTTTCAAGCTTTCTTTGCCAAATCATGTACGGGGACTTTAAGGGGCTATTTATGTGTCTTATCTGTATTCAGAATTTTCTTTAGGTAACGTTCCCTAACGGTCGAACTGTGCTCAATCATGATTTTGTATTCTGGTGTGGAGATTTCAACTACAGGTTAATCAGCTGATTACTATTGTCGGGGGAAATAGTTCATATTTGTAATCATGATCAAGAATTGACTTTCTTTTTCAGTTTCGAGTATAAACAGACTTTGTAAATAGGACTTTTTACAACATCAGAGTCGTAAATTCACTGTGAGTGTGAAGTCTGTCGCACCAGTTAATAATTTATTGGGAAATATCATTCACGAAACATTGAAGCACTAACTAGTTCTCTTTCTTGTAATGATTACCGTTTTTAAATGGAACCATTATTCTTGGCATGAAAAAACTGTTCGTCTGTCATCCTATTTAATTTGGTCAACTTCCAAAATAGAAAAAATTGGGAGAGGAAAGCATGAATTTTTAATTTCAGTCATAAAATTTTTCTGGGGTGTCATTGAGTTCTAAAAAGTAATTGGGCCTTATCGGGTCGGCCTTTTTCTTTTTTTGAATTCAAACAGGACAGAAAAAGAAAAAATATATTAATTATTAAGAAAAGGGATCCTGTAACATTAATTTCTAGTGACCTTTAATGCAAAGATGGCAATGCCCGATTCACAACAGTATTATTCAGTATGAATTATAAATAAATTTTATAATTTGAATTATTTATAATTTTTGAAACCTCATTGTTTTCCACTATTGTTTCTCTACAAAAATGGCTAGCGTATTTCTACTCCAGGTAAATGTATAATTATCCGAATCAAACCGTTTGAACATTTGACAACGACAATATTTACCATATTGTACAATTAAAGGTTTCAAGGGTACTGTTGTAAATCGGACATTGCCATCTTTGCATGGAGGGTCACTTGAGATTTCGTTAACAGTCCCTTTTAGTCAAAAATCTCCAAAGTCTGCGAATACCATAGTTGTGATAATTTGGTGTAGGATTAATGTGAACCGAGAGGAAGCTGTAAACTGTATCAAGAACAATGATTTATCTGAGCTACTAGCTGCTGACCAGCTCAAGATTGAACAGCAGGCGGGGAATGTTTTCCAGGTAAAAAATCCCAAAGTGAAGGACCGAAAAGAAACCTATTTTTTCAGTTACAAATTTCAAATTTGTTAAAACTTTCTGCCAGAAACTCATTCAATGTTCCTGAAAGGGAAACAAAATGTTATAAGTATTCCTTTGATTTTGTTTCCACGACAACTTTCAGGTCGGCGCCATCGACATGAATGTTGTAAGAAAAAGAGACCTTTCATTGGCAATTAGCATTAGCAATCCCTACACCTCATCATTTGATTTGATTCCGTGCACTGATATCAACAGTTTTACAAGAAGGAAAACAAGAAGTTATAACCATTTCTATGACTTTGTCCAATGTTTTGTCCAAAACGGTTTTTAAGGACGGCGACATCATTTGTGAATGCCATTCAAAAAAGAAGATGTCGAAACTACTTATAAAATTTATTATAGATAATTTTCTTAGAATCTAAATAAAATTGGAAGTTTAAATATAATAATTAGTTTTTTTATATATTTAATGTGTTTTTCTGTTAATATTTTAGGGTTTTCATGAAGGAGATATTACGTTTCCTCCAACCTACAAGTACGATCTGTTCAGCGATGATTATGATACCTCAGACAAGTGTAGAGTACCAGCTTGGACAGACAGAGTACTGTACAGGGCTAGAAGGTTGCCAGGTATGTACATTGTACATCCTACTTTATATAAGTGTTTTATTATTGTTTGTACATGTGGAACCGGTGTCTTGCATCAGTTCATCCCTTCGACATATAAAGTTAAATTAAAACATTTAAAAATAATAAATGATATTNCAGATAATCCTGCCTGGTTCAGTTTCTGGTCTATATATACTTGAACTCAGATAATCCTGCCTGGTTCAGTTTCTGGTCTATATATACTTGAACTCAGATAATCCTGCCTGGTTCAGTTTCTGGTCTATATATACTTGAACTCAGATAATCCTGCCTGGTTCAGTTTCTGGTCTATATATACTTGAACTCAGATAATCCTGCCTGGTTCAGTTTCTGGTCTATATATACTTGAACTCAGATAATCCTGCCTGGTTCAGTTTCTGGTCTATATATACTTGAACTCAGATAATCCTGCCTGGTTCAGTTTCTGGTCTATATATACTTGAACTCATAATCCTGCCTGGTTCAGTTCCGGGTCTGCTCGACTATAGTTGAACTTAAGAGTTTAAAGTTCTACCCATTGTGCAGGAGTTGGAGATGAATGGGTTCCTGGAAACTTTCATTACTATGGTAGAGCTGAGCTTAAACAATCAGATCATAGACCTGTTCTTGCAGTAGTTGATATACAGGTAATGGTAGATATATAATACTATATTCATGTTAGTTAAAATAGTTTACAGCCTTCATGCACATACAAATACACAAATATGATTGACGAAACTATAATCACAAAATAGCTCTAGTCCTGTTATTTCCAAAAATGCTGTCTGCCTTTTTTTGTGCGTTCAAAATTACCCAAGATATAAAGAATTTTGGTTAGATTTTTATTGTTTTAATAAAACGAGAATTTTCTAATTTTTTATGAAATCGTAATCTCCTGTGATCTTGAAAGCACAAAAAAGGCAGACCACATTTTGGAAATATCAGGACTAGAAACTTTTTGTAAATATCGTTTCATGAGCCTTACTTTTATATTTGCATAATGAGATGGACAAAATGAACGCCGTAAACTGTTTCAAATATCAAAGACGATTGTAAAGTCGTCTGATGAATTGTGAATAAATTCCGAGTCTTTCTGATTAGAACTGAAGATTAATAGAAATAAATTTTAGATTCGTAATGTTGACTCAGAGAAAAGAGAGGAGGTTATTAAGGTAATTAGCCATTTAAAACAGATTAAATATCTGTGAAGTGCCATAAATGTTTAACAAAGAAGTCCAAGTGAAAATCCATGGATCTGTATCACAGATGAAAATGTAAACTGACCCAAAATCAAAGTATTTCAAAGTATTTCAAGTATCAAAGTATTTCATTCGTAATTTTTAAAAGTGGCAAGAAACAAATAGAAAAATGAACCATTTCAAGCATTTTTAAAGTATGAGAAATCACATAGTCCCCTTTCTCCTAGTCGGTTAATACTTGCTACTCTTGAAAATTACAAATGTTGCAGAGAAACAGTGTTGAAACTTGACCTAAATCCTATCTTAATTTTGGGGCAGTTTACACCAGTTTTAACCACCGAGGTTTTCTGATATACAACATAGGATTTTATTCAATTTACAGAATAGATGAGCAAAATTATCTTAATGTGTCATTAATTTAACGCTTTAAATGTTTAATGGTTAATAAATTTGATAACAAAAAATATGATAATTCTCATTCTCCTGTTTTTTATTTCTCTGCATTTTATTCAGAATTAAACTTATTAAAAGCATTTGATAAATAGTAAACTTAATTTCATTTATATAATAAAACAAGACATTCGTATGTATATGTTACCTATAGCCGGCCAAACGGCTGGACCGATTGAACTGAATTTTTTTGTGGACACTCATGGATGGCCGGGGGTGTTAAAGGCTAAAAAATAGAGAGAAAAAATTCAAATTTTTTTTCAACATTTTTTTTCCACGGGCAACGACGGGCCCTTCAGCTAGTAGATTTGATGAAATACATATATGATAGTTCTGATTCTCTTTTTTATAGTTCTCTGGATTTTATTCAGAATTAAACTTATTAAAAGCATTTGATAAACAGTAAACTTAATTTCAAGCGACTTCCAGGGCTTCCAGTTTAAAACTCGTATGATTGATTTACAACCTTTTATATCTCTATCTGAGAAACAATATGTTTAACTCTGTCAGCTAATTTTGTGACATTTTTATTTTTCAGACAAAGAAACAAGAATATACTTGTCATTTTACTCAGTTAAAAGTTAAAAGGGTAATGTTGAGAATAGTGCATGCCCCTTATTAAATGGAGGATTACTCAAAATTAAAAGGATTTTAAACAAAAAAATCTGTTTTCCTTTTTTGAGATTTGTACTGTCAAAACCATGATAATGTTTCCATAGAGGTAAAATATAAAGTTATCGCAAAATATTTTTTCCACCATTTTTAGAAACTATATTTTTGGAATTGAAAAAATATGTTTAAGAGATTTTTTTACAGGTTTTCTTAGATTACTTGGCATAAATGAAAAACTAATGTATTCAGGATGTATTAAGAGATCTGGGTCCTAGTGATGGTACTGTAGTGTCGAGTCCTCTAACTGGAGAGGGAACAATTAAGATATCAGAGGATATCATTGGAGCTATCACACGTTAGTAATTTATAATTGGAGCTATCACACGTTAGTAATTTATAATTGGAGCTATCACACATTAGTAATTTATGATTGGAGCTTATCACACGTAAGTAACTTATAATTGGAGCTATCACACGTAAGTAACTTATAATTGGAGATTTCACACGTTAGTAATTATTAATTCTGGAGCTAAAACCCTTAATATAATTGGTGCTATCACACTTTTTATAACTGGAGCTATCACACCTTAGTTATTTATAATTGGAGCTTTAACACTTTAGTAACCTATAGTTGCAGCTATCAAAGTATTTCTTTATTGGAGCTATCATTCAGAAATCATTCAAATTAAGATTCAAAACTTTTCCCTGACCAGATTTCTGCTTTCCACTGTAATTGGGTGTTTTTGGTGTTTTTCACATAGCTCAGATTAAATTGCGCTGATTTTTTATATTTTCTGCCTTCAAGAATAGGTTCAAGTAAAAATCATGCCACATTACGGGTACGACTTTGTGACCTCGTAGCTCCTACAATTTTGAGTTTACATTCTAGCATGAGAATTGCAAATACATCTGGTTACATATTAGAAATTCAAAACATGTTGGTTCCTTTCAATAGTTCTTCAATGAGAGAAGTTATGATTGAATACATTACAGATTTTAATATTACGTGCAATTCACTTAAGTATGACGTGATATGATATATAGCCAAGGAATTGGAATCTATCTTTGAACAAATATTTTTTATGTCTACCTCTTAAATTCATTGTAACCTTTATTTAGAATGTATGTCAGAGTTTGGAGATGTTAGGTACAGCAGAGAGGTCAGAGGTACTGTGTGGACCCAATTCAGGTAGGTCAATCAAATGGTTGAGAGCTAAATTAAATGTTTTAGAGGTTAATTCAATGTGCAAGGGGCCAATTGTATTGTATGTTGGCCACTGCACAGTAGGCTACTTTTACAATGATGCGGGGGGAGGCGGCTTATGGGCGGGAGGGGGTCGTCTTTCTCCCTGGAAAACTGGGGGGACGTCCCCCCCCCTGGATGCTGGATGGAAAGCGCATGAGTTCTAATATCATGGCAGCGCAAAAAACGTCACAAAATCAACCTCTCGGCATTGAAAATTTCTAATAACTCTTTAGCACTGTAAATGACAATACAACATTGCAATTAATAATTTCTCTTTCGTACTCTGTCAAATTATTTTCTGTTGTTTTAAATCAATTTTTAATTTTCAGCGCATTTTACGAAATGCCAAGAGTGGAGAAGATAAAATCTTGGGGGGGGCCTAACATATCGTCTTCCCTCCCTCTTATTTTATTGTATTTTTGTTGTTCAGGGAGGGTGGAGCAGCTCAGAAAGCTATAAATGCTGGTCTTGTAATAGCAGCAGGAGCAGAATGGCAGGTTTGTTCATTACCTGATCATAATGGTTTAAAGATGTTTATTGTTTAAGTGTATTCTGTTAGTTTTGTTTAATTGCTTTTTTGTTTTTGTGGGACAAAAAAGTAGATATTAAAATTTGGAAAAATCACAAATTGTTTGCATTGTTGTACAGAATTATTGATATATTTATTTTGTGCAGGTGTCTGCTGCCTGCTCTTCCTGGCGGGAAATGTTGGAACTAGAATTAGAACTAGTAGATTCCCCCACTCTTCCACTTGTATCCTCACCTAGTACACAGTTCAAGTACTCATTTATTCATTTATTCACTTATTCATATTCATTGATTCATTGATTCATTGATTCATTGATTCATTGATTCATTGATTCATTGATTCATTGATTCATTGGTTCATTGGTTCATTGGTTCATTTGTTCATTTGTTCATTTGTTCATTTGTTCATTTGTTCATTTATTCATTTATTCATGCATTCATGCATTCATCCTTTCATTTACTTCATAATTTTATATTATATTGTTTATTATTCATTAAAAAATTATCCGTTTGGCTATTAAATTAAATTAAATTAAATTATCTCTTTCTTCCTTAAAACCCTAAGAATTGATAATTTTACTCACATTTGATTTGATCATTGTTTGATTGATTGTTTGATTGATCAGGAGGCAGAGTGCTAAACTGATGTCCCAAATCTCCCAGCTGAGTTTTGAGGAGTTGGAAGGAATAGTTTTAAGTCCCACTATTCTACCACCTAAACCTCCTCCACCCCGCCCTACAGGACCACCAGGCCCTCCTCCAGGTACACTCACACAGGTTTAATCTATCTATTTACTTTCCTTGGCTGTCTCTCGTTTGTTTGAATCCAATAAACGTCAATACGGCTGACCGATAAGCCTCTCTTTTTTGTGGGACCTCATATGACCCTAGGAAAGGTTTAAAGATGATCAAAATTCGATTTTCATAAAATCCACAAAAAATTTTATAAAATCCGCTAACTTATTTTTTTCTTGTTTTACAATGTATGCAAGAGAATGTAAGAGAAAATGTTCACAAATGAAATAGAAGCCTAGTAACTTATTTTTTTCTTTTCATTATTATCATTATTATCATTATTATCATTATTATCATTATTATCATTAAAATCTGGTTCATGTTCAGATAGACAGTGAGAGATCTACTCCAACCAACAACGACACTACGTCACTCAAAGATTCAGAGGTGAAACACATTTATGATCATTCACTGATATATGTTGGATATCGTCTCTTAAACTGATAGACCTGTTAAACAAAATGTTAGACTTATTTTACAAATTGTTAAAAATGTTAAATGAGATGGAAATCGTTTAACATAATGTTAAAAATGTTTACCAAAATGTTAGAACTGTTTATTTAGTGTTTAACTTTATGTTTAAATGTTTCACATAATCCTTGATTCGATAAGAAAATATAAAAATGTTTTTAAAATGTTTAATCTTTTTGACTAAACGTTAGAACTGAATGACCGCAGTTAAAAATATTTAATAATTTTATATATTTAGGTCCCTGGGTCTCCACAAAAGCCCCCCGCCATACCTTCTCGGAACCCTTTAGGTGCCCCTCCTAGTCTCCCACCAGGGGCCCCGCCTCAAGGACCACCCCCTGCTGCCCCACCCTCCGGTCCTCCGCCCCCTTTACCTGGTAGACCGCCGGCTGGTCGACCTCCCCCCCCTGTTCCAAAACGCTGAATAAATGAAAACGTTTTAATTTAAAATCAAAGAAAGATCTCATAGTTTATATCAATATTCTTGTGTGGGATTCAAATCAGGCAAAATGAAAAATACATGAAAAATTTTCACTTTTTCTTAGTTAAAGGGACTGAAAGCGTAATTTCAAGTGACCCTCCATGCAATGACCGATTCCCAATGGTACCCTGATAAGCTTTCTCTGATCAATTATGAATAATATGTCAATGTTTATAATTTGAAAACTGATGATTTTCAATTGTGGGTTCTCAACAAAAGTGACTTGCGCATTTCTGCTTCAAAAATAGGAGTATTTAGAACTAATCACTTACAAACCTAGAAAAACGACAAGATCTTCCACATTATTGATCAGATAAAGGTTTCAAGGGTACCGCTCTGAATCGGGCAATGGCAAATGTGCATGGAGGTTGACTTGAAAGTATGCTTACAGTCCCTTTAAGTTTATATTGTATGTAACTTCAGCTGTATAGCGCGTTGAAACAAATGCTTTAATGTTTTTAATAATGCTTTCATAGTTTAGAAATTCCATGTGGCCACAGGAGTTATTTACAAATAAAATCTGACAGAAACTTATCATTCTCATAGAATTTTACTGATTTTTAAGACATTTTTAAAAGGCCAAGCAAGATTTTTTGGCGGCTTGTAAACATTAATCGAATAGCATACATTCCTGCACTGTACTGTACTGTAACCTATTGAGGGAATTTTTGTGGCTATTAAGGTCCAGTCATCATTATTTTTAATACAGCATACATTCCTGTACTGTACTGTACTGTACCGTACTGTACTGTACTGTACTGAATTTCTTATCCTGGTATTATAGTAAGTAATGTGATTTTATCTAGTCTGTATTAATCAATTGTACAAAATCTAAGACAGAGACAGTTTTGTAGATTTGTATTTTAACTTTACAACTTTAAAATCCCTGTTAGCTGTACCACCCCCGTGAAATGATGAAAAAAGAATTATTTTCTTGCATTTATTAGATTTGCTGTAAATGAACTAAAAAAGAATACGTTTTTCATTATTTAATTGTAATTTGTATAACTTACTCTAAATAAATAGATTAATAAAAAGTATAATATACTTTGCTTTTAATGGAAGCTTAACTTTCTCTATAAAAAAAGCTAAGAAAATTTCCCGTAGTTCTACTGAGTTTCTCAATCAAAGTTGAGTGAAATCAGTCCAGCAGTTCCTGAGTTAAAAATGATTAAGAACATTTCCCGTGGTTCTACTGAGTTTCTCAATCAAAATTGAGTGAAATCAGTCCAGTAGTTCCTGAGTTAAAAATGATTAAGAACATTTCCCGTGGTTCTACTGAGTTTCTCAATCAAAATTTGAGTGAAATCAGTCCAGTAGTTCCTGAGTTAAAAATGATTAAGAAAATTTCCCGTAGTTCTACTGAGTTTCTCAATCAAAGTTGAGTGAAATCAGTCCAGTAGTTCCTGAGTTAAAAATGGTTAAGAAAATTTCCCGTGGTTCTACTGAGTGTCTCAATCAAATTTGAGTGAAATCAGTCCAGTAGTTCCTGAGTTAAAAATGATTAAGAACATTTCCGTAATATTTTTTAATATGATAAAACTTATAAGCTTAACAGAAACCTTTTTCTTTAAAATTGTGTTAGGTATTCTAACCACAATATCCAGATTAATATTTTTAAACGCCCTGATTTGAAAGAGGATTCTTTAAATCATATTAACATACAGGGTTACTTACAAAGAATGAGATTGTAAAGACGAACAAAACTCTGAAATGATGACGATTTGAAGCTTTATTTTTAATCTCTGCATTCACGTAGATATTTTGATGGTTAACTAATTGATAAAGCACAAAAATGAGCCAGTTTTGACCTACAAGGGGAACAAGGGACCCTGAATGCAAACTAAATAAATAAATTCCGTACAATCGTCTTTGAAGTCTCGTCTTTTATGGGTAACCCGGTATCCCACGCCGTTTCTCTGTAAATCAAAGATTTTCTAAACTCAATGATGAAAACCCTACCAGGATGTACACAAGGAAAATCACAAACCAATTCTGAAATATCTTCTAAAATTCTTCGATATGTGTGGACTGTGGGGCATCTAAGAAAAACTTAACCTTGCATGGTTTAAAACGAACCAAAAACTTTGCCCAATTCTCTGCCTGTATCCATAGTAATTGGGATGAACGAGGGGAGGAAGGTCAGCCACAAAAATTTCTCGTTAGAGCCACATTCTTATTTTCTCGTCCGAGCCACCTCGAAATCCTTGTTCTTACAATATTATTTTTTTTAAGTGTCTAATCCTCTAAAATAAATCTATTTTTAAAGAATCGGGCCACGTTAGGGCAAAAATGAAAAGTTGAATTTTTGTAAATCGAAAAATATAATTTCATTTGAATGAAACTTTTCGAGTTTAAAGTCCTAAAACATCTTAATTTTAAGATATTTTTGGTATAGAATTCCCAAGTTTAAAGAACGTCAACCTTCATTGTTTTTTTCAAGAATATGAAACTTTAAAACACATAATAATCGAAGGACGAGGATTTTGAGGTGGCTCGGACGAGAAATAGAGGAGAACATGGCTCGGACGAGAAATTGTGGCTGTCCTTCCTCCCCTCGATGAACTTAGGTCGGTTTTTGAAAACTTTCAGGTTCCAAAAATATCTAAGCAGTGTTAAAAAATCAAAAACTGTTAATATTCCATTTAACTTTTCTTTCTTTTCACTTTACCAAATTTTAACCCTGAAATGCATTAAAAAAAAAACAATTGTTGTTCGGTTAATTTGTTTTGTTCCTTTTTAATAATATTGCCAACCTATCATTCCCTTAACAGAGGGAGGTTAAGCTACTTAACGTCCCTTGGGACAATTAAATAAAATTACCACCCAGGCTCTGTAAAGTTTGCGTGAAAAAATTTGCGCATTTTCATCTCAAAAACAATAAAATTGTGTACAACTACTTTTTCTGGAAATTAAAATTTTAGATCTCAGGAACCCTTGGTAAAGTAAAATTCCCTTAACTTCCCTGTAAAGTATTTGTAAATAATTAATAATTTTGTCTTGTTTAATAAAAGTTAACTCTACATAACGTATAATTTTTAAATGTTGGAACCTTTTTTTATGGAATAGTATTTAAAAGTCCAAAAAATGTTGCCCGTCAATACATCAATACCAGTATCTGTGAATTTCTTAAACTAGGCGACATTCTGTCTGCTGAGTCTGCTCCGTCTATGCAAAACATAGTCTAGAATATTCTAAAACCTTCACGGGGTTCTCAATAGTTTTCCGGACTCTTCACTTTCCTTCACGACTAGTTCCGGTCAGTTAGGTGCCAGGTCACAAATTACAAAAAATGCAATGAGATTTCTGTAAAGAGTACTGAGGCGTACATCGGGGGTGGGGGGGGGGAGGGCTCACCCCATGATCATTGAAATATATTGTTTCCAGTGTTTACTTGGTCCCAATGGGTGATGAGAACCCCCCCCCCCCCTCTATGTACGCCCCTGAAAGAGTACAGATGTTACGTAACTTTTGCGATTTATAGACCAAGATTTTTGGCAGATTTTCAACATAACTTCATGTCTTTTGTACGTATAGAATTCTGCGAATCTATTAAATACACAATATTACGGAGAGACCCATGAAACTGTGGAATACTAAGATGACAGTTAAACACAATTTATTATGTTTAGAAAATCCAATGATATGAAAGAAACACAGGAATTGTGCAGTGTAACTGTACACAGACAGTTCACTCTGAAAGTGGATTTTCAAGTTCCGGTAAAATAATGTTCTTTACAACTGCATATAATACTAGCCTGGGAACCCAGCGTTGCCTAGGGTACTTATAGTTACTCCAGCCGTTTACCCGCACTTGGACGATTTTACCGGGAAACTAAATTTTCGCAATCAAAGTCGATACACACAACTTAGAATCTTAAAACCAAACAAAGAACATTCACGATTTCCCCAAATCAAAATTTGAGACAAATCAGTCCAAAGGTTCCTAAGTTATGATCGGACAAACAAACAGACAGACAAACAATTGGCAGACCCGATTGGTCGAGTAAAGAAAATTGTTTTATATAAAACATTTTATAAAAAAAAACGTTGAATATTTATATTTACAATATAAAAACCATCACATTTTCTAGACACTTTTGCAAAAAATTAACAAATAATGTATTTCCTACACATTGAAAAATTCTTTTGCGTTCGTAATTGCAAATTATACGCATTTATAGATAAACTTTTGTTCGCAGTTCAGGAAAATATTGCGTAGAAAAATACGCATTGTTTTCTTTAATTCTGTTCTTTTAGATTTTTCGTAATACCTTTAGGATAAAGAATATCTATATTACGGGACATGTCGTTCTATTTTTAAGGGATTTTCTATTTTAAGAGGGTCAGACATTCACTATTCACAACCTTACCCTTAAGAACGTTATCTGATCAGTGGATGATATCGTCGTTTTTCTATATTGAAAAGTGTTAAATCTTGAAAATTTCCTATTCATTCTTGATCAAACGAAGCTTTTAAAGGGACCTTTATGAATCAGACATGCCGCTCTATTTTTGGAGATTCACATGAAATTACTGCAATAACAGTCTCATTAAATTGTCTTCTTATACAAATCATGACTTTTTTGTATTTATATTTTGTTTTAATGCTTTTTTCTTTTAATATTAATATTTTTTACTTGACTCAATTTTACTCCCGGTAGAGAATATCATGGGTTTATTCCGGTTTGGTAAATATCAGGGGTTTCCTCCAGGTAGGGGAATATCATGGGTTTACTCCCGTTACGGGAATATCATGGGTTTATTCCGGTTAGGTAAATATCAGGGGTTTCCTCCAGGTAGGGGAATATCATGGGTTTACTCCCGTTATAGAATATCATGGGTTTATTCCAGTTAGGGGAATTCCAGGTAGTGGAATATCAGGGGTTTACTCCCGGTAAAGAAATATCAGGGGTTTACTCCAGGTAGGGGAATATCAGGAGTTTATTCCGGTTTGGTGAATTTCAGAGGTTTCCTCCAAGTAGTGGAATATCAGGGTTTACTCCAGGTAAAGAAATATCAGGGTTTACTCTAGGTAGGGGAATATCAGGGTTTACTCCAGGTAGGGGAATATCAGGGGTTTACTTCAGGTAGAAGAATATCAGGGTTTACCCCAGGTACGGTAGGAGAATATAAGAGTTTTATTATAGCTAAAATAATATCAGGGGTTTACTCCAGGTAGTATGAAAATATCATGGGTTTCGCCATCAACAAAGAACTTGACTTTCATGAGAACTTGAAAATTAAAAGAAACATCTAAAAAAGTGTGGGGGGGGGGGCATTGAATTATGGAAACCAAGCTAAATAATTCCCGTAATAGTCTTGAAAGTTTCATCCCACCCTGTTTATTTATGCCTAAAAGGAACACATTAGGATTGAGAAATTTAAATTTTTTATTTACCATGTATCTTTTACGCACATTCAAGCTTATTAAAGGTTTATTTATCAATTTTTCGGAAGTGGGATGGGGTTGGGGGGGGGGGGGTGCGTTTTGACGTCATAGTTAAGATGTCCTTTTCTCCGTTCAGGATCGAACATGTCCTTATTATCAATGCATGACCGGAAATGACCGAAATTTAGAAAACGGCGGAGATTTAAAAGCATGCACCAGTGATCTGTAAAACTTTTAAAATCAATTATCATCTTGTCTATATTTAGTCTGGGCCAATTTTGAAGTGTCAACAGGGACCAGGCCTTTGTCCTTGGTTTAGACCAATCCACTTATGCTTTTATACAGCCCTGCATATTAAGATTATTGAGTTGTGAAGGACTGTTTCTAACCTTATTTTTGAATGCGTATCTGGACAAGTTCTAATTTATTTTTGCATCTGAATTAATTTATTTTAGCTCACAGTGAGGGAGAACTGAGAAAGACCTAGAAATCAGGAATAAACTGCTTTAAACAGGACTTTCTAGGCCTACTCAAGCCTTCTAGGCAACACAAATATATTTCAAGTAAAATATTTAAAACATGCTCAGGTAAAGTCGACCTTGCTTCATTTGAAAATCAGGAAAATCAAAAATAAGATTTTAATAATGTGTGTTGAAGGATTAACTACTTTAATTAATTTTAATGGAACTTATTAGCGAAAAACTATCTCAAATTTTGGTTAATTTTTCAATTTTTTTAGATTTCACTGGCCAAGTTTTTTATTGCAATTTTGTTATCGAAAAATGATTTTTTCGGTAAAAAATCTACATATCAGAATAACACTCGATAAGAGACAAAAATTCAAAATTCACTTTTATTTCGAAACCAAAAAAAACTAAAAAAATTGCTGGTTAGATATAATAATGCGATTTTGTAATCGAAACAATGTAATTATTTATTTCCTGCAAAAATCAATATATCATACAAAAGACCTGATCTGATTAACAAAAAGAGAAAACAAGCATTGATCTCGATATCCACAACTCTACAGTTTTCATCTCTGAACATACTTTTTATCAGTGTGTTCTATGTCCTTGAAATATGAGTTTTAGCTTTTTCATTTCTGTCTTCAAACCTTGAATCAAGGTGAGGAAATCGAAGAACTTTGAGTATGTTTTTTATTCAAAGGGTCGGAGACTTCTAGTTAACTGTGCCGTGCACCCCCCACCCCCCCATCCCCGCATGGAGGGGGACAAGAGGGGGGTTGTCAAGAATATGGGGATGGGGAAACTGGAAACTAAATATCTTAAGTTTTGAAAACAAGAACAATTGATAATTTGATTGGATAAATATTTTATAAAAATTACATATGTTTATGAGAAAAATTGCATGAAGGCCCAAATTGTGTGCCAGTTTTATCTATATAATAAAGCTCTTCGTTCATATAAATAAATTTTATCTATGGCTAGAAAAAAGGCTAAATAAAATTGACAGAATTTTTTAGGTTAGGTTGAGTATCCCGGAGGTAACATAAGCTAAAAAATCCAATTTTTCTTCAAAATTTTAATTGTTTGTTGGTCAAAAAAAAAATTTTAGATTCAAATAGCTTTTATAGCCTTTGTTATCCCAGGGAAAAATTGCAAAAAGACCAAAATTTTGTGCCAGTTCAATGATCATTAAGAATATGGTTTTAAGAACGAGGAGAAATTTTTATGGAAAATGGTGAAATTGAGAGAAAAGGTTCTTTTTGCTCTGTTATGATTTTTAAAACTTCCAAAAACTCCTAAAATCAAAATTTTATTTTTGTTTATTTTAAAAACCTGACAGAAGAACAAATGTTTTTGAAGCGTAAATGTGATATATCATTAATAGTATCCAATACGCAAAACATATGAATAAATGTAATATAATTTTTTTTATTTTAAAAAGTTTATTTATGTTTTATGCTCATTAAGAAATTTTTTTTTTTTTTAATTATTCGCTCCAAATTCTGTTGAGAATAAATGCGTAAATGTAATATATTAAAGAACAATTCCATTGTGCAAAACGAGAAGAAAAATCTTATAAAACTTTTTAATTCTTTAAATTAAGAATAAATTAAAAGTCAAATAAATTTGATTTACATTCATTTAAGATTTTAACAGCTACAGTGCCCGGCGTTGCCGGTGGAATTAATTTTTTAGCCCATTAGGTCCAACCGTTTGGCCGGCTATTGGAAGAGATTTTAGCCGAACAAAGCTTGTCCCTGAAATGTTATTTAAAATAATTATGCGTGAATGTGATATTATATAAAACGATTTAATTACGCAAAATAAACATAGAACATTCCCTTGTGATTAATTTAACACTTTATTTAACACTTAATTTAACACTGACTGGGGTTTCTTCAAAATTTGACATATTTTCGACCATGGTTAGTAGAAAAGAACTAACATAGCAAAATCGACCTAATACCGGATTCGGAAGCATTTCTTAATTACGTATATTTTGTTCGAAATCTTAAACAAAATGTTAGGAATTTCTAACAAATATTTTAATCCCTCTCATTCTAAATTTCTAATTTTTTTTGTTATTACAAAAAGTTATTTTTTTAAAGAAAACTCCACGCGTTGCTAGATTTGGCCGTGAATACTAGACTAGGGGAGGAAGGGCAACCACAACAATATCTCGTCCGAGCCACATTCTCCTCAATTTCTCAACATATTTTTTTTAAATGTTCAACCATTGCTGATAAGAATATTTTTTGGCTCGGACGAGAAAATTAGGAAAATGTGGCTCGGACGATAAATTGTTGTGGTTGACCTTCCTCCCCTCACTCACTGGACGGTCAGTCTCCTGTATAAAACTATCTTCCTGGAGTAGAATTCTCAGTTAAGAACGATCTATCAGACTAGAAACATCTAGACATTTAAATAATCCAAGGTGGGCTTTAAAACAGTTAATATAAAGTGAAAGAAAACATTTCTAGCATAATCTGGGTTACCCACAAAAAATGAGACGACTGTACGGAATGTATTTAGTCTTTATTCGAAAAGTTTTGATTTACTAACACTGTAAAGGAATCGAGAATTTACCACAAACTCAGAACTTCTAATTTCTATATCTTTGTTACCTGAGAGTGAGAGAGAACCTTTGATAATTCAAACTTAATTATTAGATCTAACAGCATTGATAGTTGGAAATTAAAGATCTACGACATTGGATTGTAAAGGCTAGAGATTAGAAAATCAGAGTTTGTGGACTTAATTCCTTTCTTTGCCAATCCCTTTAATTTGCCAATTAACAATCTTTTTTGATAGAAAGAGCCAATCTCAACCTTCAGATCATTCTGTAAGTTTAAAGCTTTCATACTTTTTGGGTAACCCTATGTGTAGAGAAATATCTCTATAAAAAATTACTGTTTTGGGGATTTTTAAAAATTGTTAAAAATTGTAAGCTTTATTTAAATATGTTCTTCCTCTTATTATTAAAATTTTAAATTTAAAGGGACTATATACTCGTAATTTCAAAAAATATTCTGCTTGTATTTAGATGCACAACGTAGCAATTGCCGCAGTGAGAACCACTATTGATGTCTGTGATCTTGTGCTCGTTTCAATCTCAAGGTAACAGATTTTTAAATAAAAATAAATAAATAAAACTTTTTAAGAACCGAATAAATTGTCAAAATGTTGTCACAAAATATGAAAATTGAGTTTTTAAAAAATTCCTTCAAAAGTTTAAATTCTTTGGCAGTTTTTTCTTGTTTGAATCCGATACAGGAGGACTGTGGAATCGAAAGTCAATTGTTGGACTCAAATTATGATTTTGCTTTATAACATTTAAGATTTCTTAAATGTCGTCTTTCTATTTCTCAGATGTATGGTACTCTCTGATATTAGAAATGTTTTCTGAAAAGGACTTTAAGTCCAGTTCCATGTCTTTGTCTTATCAAGTATGAACTAAAGATCAATGTTCATAATTTTGAAAACTGACTTTTTTCAATTGAAGTTTCTTTACAAAAGTGTCTTGCGTATTTCTACTGCAGTAAGACATAAATGAAAATTATCAGAACTAAACAATTTTAAACCTAAAAAAATTACAGCATCTTCCACGGTTCAAGGGTATCGCTGTGAATCTGAAAATGCCATATACAAAATTACGCTTATTGTTCCTTTTTTATTGATAAAAATCAATTTAATTATGAATAATATTTCTTGCTTCAGAACGAGAGCGCTGACAGACAAGGTGAGAAAAACCTCGGAAGAGAGTATAAATAAATTAAATACGAAAATATGCAGACAAAGAAAAATTTCCAAAACCAACCAGGGAAAAGCGCATTTATAACTATTGTAGAGATTATTTAATATTTGTAAACTTTATATTTTATATTTATTGTAATATGTATTGAAGCAAAGCCAGGTTTTGAAAAATGATTTTAAGAAATCTTTAAAAGAATATTAATTGAAAAGTTTTCTATTAAAGATTTCGATAATTCTTTCAAATTGTTTTCAAAACTGAGTTTCGTGGATTTTGTCAAAACTTTCTGGTTTTAGTTTAGTTTAAGAAGAGAGCTGCTAATTGCACCTGATTGTTGTAACATTGGACACCTGGTCCAAAACCTTGTACCTTAATATTCTTGCTCAAAAGCAGTTCTCAATCCTAACTGTATATGTATATGTAATATAAACCAGAAAATAAATTGAATGTCATCAAACCTTGTTTTTTATTCTGAATTTCTTTTTTTATATTATACTAGCTGAAGGGCCCGGCGTTGCCCGTGGAGGAAAAAATGTTGAAAAAAAATGTATAGCCTAAGACACTCCCAGGCTACCCATGAGTGTCCACAAAAAAAAATCAGCTCATTCGGTCCAGCCGAAATTGGAAAATTTGCTAAATTCCATCTTTAATACTATAATTGAGCTTTTTTTATCATTTATCATTACTTCGAAGAAAACTTTCGATTTTGATTTCTACCATGAACAATTGAAGATATAATCATAGAATCAAACAGAAGTTGTAAATAACAGCTTCTCTTTTTTTTATGTAAACTTGTAATTAAAAAAAGCTTATTATAAATAAATATTTTTTTGAATATTTGTAACTAGCTAAATAACCCAGCGCTGTTACTCTGCCGTTTACTGGCACTTGAACGATTTTACCGGGAAAATAAATTTTCGCTATTAAATCTCAACTTAGAATCTCTAAACCAAGCTAAGCACATTCCCGTGGGTCTCCCGAGTGCCCTAATCAAAATTTGAGGCAAATCGGTTTTGGGATTCCTGAGGTAAGATCGGACAAACATACAGAGATTACAACTTTATATGCATAAATTCTCTTTGCAGATTATAAAAGTAGAGACCAAAATGTTAAGTAGATTAGTATCACAATCAGGAAATAGAGGGAAGGTATAAAGGGTTAAATGACATGATTATGCTTTCTAAATAAGTTATTTAGGTCGAAAAATGACATACTATCACCAATTTTATTTCAAAATACATAACTAAGATTAACAATCTGATATATAAACACTACTTCTTGAGATTCTTCTTTTCTTGTGTCAAGCCTTCTAATTACACGGCTGTTGGAAGTAATTAAGCTTATAACCTAAAAGATTTTAGTAACAAATAATTTTTATACAGTGAAAACCAGAAAGCTCTGGAATGGGAAGACGACTTGTAGACTCAAGTTATGACTTGAAAAATTCAATGAACACAATTGCAATAGGGTGGTGTAAACAGTCCCCATTAACTTGATAAGAGAAAGTTACTATTAACTTATTTTACTTTGAGAAAACATCAAATTCACAAATGAATTGGTGTGATGTCATCTTCCCACTCCACAGTTTTTAGTTCTCACTGTAATATTTTACATTTCCAAACTGCTCTGTTGTCACCACACAACACAAATGGTGATTCGTTAAACATGTAGAAGATTAAATCCAATTAGGCAAAAATTTACAAGTAAATGTATTTTTAAAAATAAGCTTTTAACAGATCAAAGAAAATATTCACATACATTTTTTGGACCCACGGGCACCGTCGGATATATCTGCTATTTCTTATTAATTCTGCCTGCAAGTCGTCTTATATATCAATACAATAAAGACAACTTTTGATTGCACGATTTTCAATTTTTACCAAGCTTTGAAACAGCATTGAATACACATAAACATGGAAACAAAAGAAACTGTAAATCTACTAGTTCTCTTTGTTTACTTGTAAACTTCTAATTTGAAGAAAGCTTGTCAGAAATTAAAATAAATTAAAATTAAATAAAAAAGTCGTTTTTATGTTGATATAAATGCTGACCATGCTGTACCTCTGTTTGGCTGGGCAGAAGTTATTGGAGCGAATTCCGTCTGAAGTTCAAAAGGTCTGATTTTGCCTTAAAAATCGTTATAAAGAGAGTGGTTGAAGGAAAACATTGTTGGAATTACTTACTATAGATTGTAAGATGGTCCGAGCTGCTACATCCTCCGTCCAAATTACAAAGTCGTTTACCACAAAATCTTAAGAAAAAATTCCCATGAGTTCAAGTTCTTTTAGAAAATTCTGATTAATTCAGAGAATAATAGAGACCCTGTAGTCTATATTATATTTAGAAAATAACAGAGACCGTGTAGTCAATAATATATTCAGAAAATAACAGAGACCGTGTAGTCTATAATATATTCAGAGAATAATAGAGACCGTGTAGTCTATAACATATTTAGAAAATAACAGAGACCGTGTAGTCTATACTATATTCAGAAAATAACAGAGACCGTGTAGTCTATAACATATTTAGAAAATAACAGAGACCGTGTAGTCTATAATATATTCAGAAAATAACAGAGACCGTGTAGTCTATAATATATTCAGAGAATAACAGAAACCGTGTAGTTTATAATATATTCAGAGAATAATAGAGACCGTGTAGTCTATTATATATTCAGAAAATAACAGAGACCGTGTAGTCTATAATATATTCAGAGAATAATAGAGACCGTGTAATCTTCATATACATTCAGAGAATAACAGAGACCGTGTAGTCTGTAATATATTCAGAGAATAACAGATACCGTGTAGTCTGTAATATATTCAGAGAATAATAGAGACCATGTAGTCTATAATATATTCAGAGAATAACAGAGACCGTGTAGTCTATAATATATTCAGAGAATAACAGGTGAAATTACGTAAAAATTATAAACAAAACAATACACTGGAATGAAATTATCTTTCAAAATTGTGCAGCGCAGAACTTTTAAAATGCCGCAAACTATTTGATCCGACCTATCACAAGCAATGAAGGCAGGTGGAGCTGTCAAAACGTATGGTGCATTCCCCAGATTGTTGGTTCCCTAAATATACAAGACAAATTGTAAATGATTTACGATATATTTTTTTAAATTCTTTAAGTTGTAAGTGACCAAATCCGTTGAAGAGGTTAGAAACATATTATTACATATTATGACATATTTTGACATATGTTGGTAAATTTTTTAAAGAAACTGTAATATTGTCTATATTTAGAAATGACAAGGCCTGACATCATTTTTGCCAAGTCCAAAGTGCACAGTTGTGTACAGTATACAGTTGTGCACAGTATACAGTTGTGTAGAGTGTACAGTTGTGTACAGCGTACAGTTGTGTACGGTGTATGGTTGTGTACAGTGTACATTGTACAATAGTGATTGTGAATCGAACATATGTGAAGGAGGACTATTTGAAATAAACTTCACAGTTCCTAAAAGAATAATTTAAAAAAAAAATTTTAATTTTAGATTATGAAAACCTGAGGAATTCTGACCCAGCTGTCAGTACAGAAACCTGGACAGAAATACGCATTATTTAAATTGAAAGTAAACCAATCAACAAGTAATCTCTCAATCTATAACAACCACAGACATAAATATCATATGTATAATAAACAGTTTAATAGTTATAAATCAATTCAAACGCACATCGTGTGATAGAAGATGTTAGGTAATACTTTCCTAAAGGCCTTTTCCCAAGCGGCAACTTCCCAAGGGTATTTTCCCAAGCGGCAACTTCCCAAGGGTATTTTCCCAAGTGGCAACTTCCCAAGGGTATTTTCCCAAGCGGCAACTTCCCAAGGGTATTTTCCCAAGCGGCAACTTCCCAAGGGTATTTTCCCAAGGGGCAACTTCCCAAAGGTATTTTCCCAAGCGGCAACTTCCCAAGGATATTTTCCCAAGAGGCAACTTCCCAAGGGTACTTTCCCAAGCGGCAACTTCCCAAGGGTATTTTCCAAAGTGGCAACTTCCCAAGGGTATTTTCCAAAGTGACAACCCCCAAAAGAGAGAAAGGGACTGTAGTATGAGTAACCCATGTTTTAAATATTACAACTTTTCATTACATTAAACTGTTTGACCTGCTGTAGCTACAGGGCTGTTCGGACCAGTAGCTGTATATCCACAACCCATTCTACCTCTGTATCAAAAGGAATAAACTTGAAGGGACTGTTAACGTAATTTCAAGTGACCTTTCATTCAAAGAGACATCCCCCATTCACAACAGTACCCGTGAAACCTGGTCAAGGATGTGAGACATGTCCTTATTAATCTACTAAAACACTTTTATTAGGTAACAACTTTGTTTAAAAGAAAAATAGTTTCAAATGTGGCAGCATATAAAGATTTAATTTCGAATGTTGGAATACTGCTTTTAACATAAAAAATACTAAAGTTTAAGGTACGATAATAACAGAACAGCTGGACGGTGATTAAACTGTACAGTGTACATAGCGTACACAGGGTTTCAGAAAGATTTAAGGGCTATTTAACACATTTACAGACAGAGCCCTCTCTACTTGATGAATAGTACAAAGGGTTGAAGAATACTGTAAATTAGCCAGTACTCTCTTTGCCTAGAGGGTCACTTGAAATTACGCTTACAGTCCCTTTAACGGAATTATCTACAAATTTTAAGTTGAGAATTGTAACATCTGAAAAGTTTCTTTAGTTTATTGCAAAATAATCCCCTAGATTTTCTTATTTCTAATTTTTTCTTATTTTGAAACTTCTTGACAGGAACAAGTATCATGAACTAAAGAAGATCAACACAGACCGCAATTTTTTTCAAGAAAATGTGAAATTAACACTTATTCTTTAATCTATGAGGTTAATTAAAAAGATATCTTTTTTTGGAAAATTTTTAAAGGGGTAAATTTCAAGTATATTTCAATATCTGTGAATTAAAAGGGGAAGGTCAAGGTGCTGGTTAATTGAAAAAAATTCTTGACTTGTTTTTATTTTAAAACCAGAGAAAATTTTAAATTCATAAATCCATTTTAAGTTTTTTATAGTTGGAACAAAAACAATGATATAATATATTTATTCTAGACTGCTTAGGTTCTAGGATAGATCTTGAAAATATATTTTACTGCTGCAAAAAACCCCAAAAAATAAAAATCATATACATGCCAAGAGATAATATAATATCCAAATATATGAAAAATCATTTAAATTCCAACAAAGGATTACCTAATTGCTGGAGCGGCTGGATTCACGTTTACAGCGAAACTAAAATATAATATTTGTTGTATTTTGAGATAAATTGTATGATATTTATTGTAGAAATATGATTTTAATATTTGAGATAAATTGTATGATATTTATTGTAGAAATATGATATTAATATTTGAGATAAATTGTATGATATTTATTGTAGAAATATGATATTAATATTTGAGATAAATTGTATGCTATTTATTGTAGAAATATGATATTAAAATTGCATGATAATTTTGTTCACCCGTTTATTTCCGAATCAACATCTGGGGGGGTGTATCCAATAACACACATCTCCTTCTCACGCCGGATACAGGTTCGAAGGTTTCCTGTGAAAATTTGATTGTATTAAATTAAAGGGATTGGCAACGAAATATAACCTGATAAATAAAACTTGTACTTGTACTTCTACTTGTACTATTTTTCTAGATATGAAAACTGGTACTTGTACTATTTTTCTAGATATGAAAACTGGTACTTGTACTATTTGTCTTGATATGAAATCTGGTACTTGTACTATTTTTCTAGATATGAAAACTTTTACTTGTACTTGTGCTTGTACTATTTTTCTAGATATAAAAACTGGTATTTGTACTTGTACTTGTACTATATTCTAGATATGAAAACTGGTATTTGTCTTATTTTTCTAGATATGAAAACTTGTACTTATACTTGCACTTGTACTAATTTTCTAGGTTTTAAAACTGGTACTTGTACTATTTTCTAGATATGAAAACTGGTACTTGTACTAATTTTTTAGTTATGAAAACCGGTACTTGTACTTACATTATTTTTCTAGATATGAAAGCTGGTACTTGTACTTGTACTTGTACTTGTACTATTTATCTAGATATGAAAACTGGTACTTGTACTTGTACTTGTACTATTTTTCTAGATATGAAAACTGATACTTGTACTTTTTTCTAGATATTAAAACTGTTTCTTATACTTGTACTTGTACTATTTTTCTAGATTTGAAAACTGTTACATGTATTTGTACTTGTACTATTTTCTAGATATAAAAACTGGTACTTGTACTATTTTCTAGATATGAAAACTGGGACTTGTACTATTTTCTAGATATGAAAACTGGTACTTGTACTTTTTTCTAGATATGAAAACTGGTACTTGTACTTGTACTTGTACTATTTATCTAGATATGAAAACTGGTACTTGTACTTGTACTTGTACTATTTTTCTAGATATGAAAACTGTTTCTTATACTTGTACTTGTACTATTTTTCTAGATTTGAAAACTGGTACATGTACTTGTACTTGCACTATTTTCTAGATGTGAAAACTGGTACTTGTACTATTTATCTAGATATGAAAACTGGTACTTTCTTATACTTGTACTTGTACTATTTTTCTAGATTTGAAAACTGGTACATGTACTTGTACTTGCACTATTTTCTAGATGTGAAAACTGGTACTTGTACTATTTATCTAGATATGAAAACTGGTACTTATACTTTTACTTGTAGTATTTTTCTAGATATGGAAACTGGTACGTATACTTGTACTTGTACTATATTTTAGATATAAAAACTGGTACTTGTACTATTTATCTAGATATGAAAACTGGTACTTGGTCGTGAAGTAGGTACAAAGTTAAAGGAGGAGAGGAAGGTTTTCCACATATCACACTGTTTTGAATATAATTACTCATCATAGGCTCGCTCAGATGAGACTTTAAGCATTCTCAGCAGTGCTAAGCAAAGTAGCGCCAGATCCTCTCAGATCTGAATATAAAAGGTCTGTCACTACTCAGCAGTGCTATGCAGAGTAGCGCCAGATCCAGATCTGAATATAAAAGGTCTGTCACTACTCAGCAGTGCTATGCAGAGTAGCGCCAGATCCTCTCATATCTGAATATAAAAGGTCTGTCACTACTCAGCAGTGCTATGCAGAGTATCGCCAGATCATCTCAGATCTGAATATAAAAGGTCTGTCACTACTCAGCAGTGCTATGCAGAGTAGCGCCAGATCCTCTCATATCTGAATATAAAAGGTCTGTCACTACTCAGCAGTGCTATGCAGAGTATCGCCAGATCATCTCAGATCTGAATATAAAAGGTCTGTCACTACTCAGCAGCGCTATGCAGAGTAGCGCCAGATCCTCTCAGATCTGAATATAAAAGGTCCGTCACTACTCAGCAGTGCTATGCAGAGTAGCGCCAGATCATCTCTGATCTGAATATAAAAGGTCTGTCACTACTCAGCAGTGCTATGCAGAGTAGCGCCAGATCATCTCATATCTGAATATAAAAGGTCTGTCACTACTCAGCAGTACTATGTAGAGTAGCGCCAGATCCTCTCAGATCTGAATATAAAAGGTCTGTCACTACTCTGCAAAACAGGTGTGGGTTCCCTTCCTTGAAGTAAGTAGGTAAGTAATTAAGAAAGTAATTATTCATTTATGAAATATAACAAAAACATACAAAATTAAATGTTTCAGGAGAAAATATCCCTATTTATGATAGTTGAAAGTTTAGAAAAGTACTGTTCACTTTCCAATCATATTGTTGTGAAATTATGGTACGGAAGCAGTCCGATTTTAATAGATTTTACTCTAGTAAAATAAAAATCGTTTCTGTTTCTAAGGTTTATGTTCTTTATATTTTTTGATAATGTGAAATCTTTTTTAAATGTCTCCTTAAAACTGATATAGAGATATTATAACATGAAAAATTTCTAAGGGGAGTATGTTTAAAGCCCAGAAAGATTCCGATGTTTGACTTATTCTTGACAAAGACAAATAGCTTTCAATATTTTTATTTGAAGTTAGCATTAAAAATGTTAAACTAAAAATGTAATAGTGCAATTTCATGGTTTCAAAGATTAAGAAGTTTTTTTGTTTGTTATTTGTACAAGCAAAAGTTAATATATATATAGTTTTTAAGTAGTCATTAAAGTTTAATTTAGTATCCAATCATACTATCAAGAATCTAAATGAATTTGTTTCCTTTCTGTGCTAAAATTTTTGTGTAGTTTCTCCTAGTTTAAAGAAAAAAACTGAGCACATGTCTCAAACTCTAATTTATTTATCTTTGCGACCTAATAGTATTTATTATTGACATTTTAAACTCTGACTATTTGATTTAACAGAATTAATAGTATAAATATACGATTATAAATATTAAGATATCAGGATTATAAATAAGATTACGGTTCATTTTGCAAATTTTTTTAAAAACTTCCGGAGCAAAACTACCTGCAAGCCTTGAAACTTGGTTTGATGTAGGTTGATCATAGTTGAAGGATTGAATAACTCCTGTTCCTCGGTTCCCAAAATAATACTGGTCACACCCCTAGACCACAGTAAAGTGATTTCTGATTTCCACTATATCTGTTTGCTAGGCAGAGATGAGATTTTAAAAGCTTAAACCCGAGTAAAACCCGGTTTTTGCGCCTGCTTAGACCCAAGTAAAGCTCAAGTCAAGACCCGGGTTTGGATGGCCTTTTAGTAAAAAACAACCATCTTGGGTTTTTCTCTCTTTAAGGCTCGAGTCTTCAGCAGCTGAGGATCGCAAATTTCATAAAATCTTTTATCAGGATAAGATTAAAGGTTAGGAAATTGTAGGTATTTAGGGGATCAAGAAGAAATCCTCTACTTTTCCCATGGTTTATGGATCTTTTGGTAAGCCACCTCTTTTGCACCGTCACTTACAGAGAAGAGTGAAACTGTAATTTACTCCATATCCAAATAAAAAAAATGGAACCAGGGAAAAATGTGTTCGGTTTCACCCATGTTTCACCAATTCAAATTCAACTGATTTTTGGTCTATTGCTCAATGATATTTAAGCTTGCAGATTTCTCTTATACTTTTTCTTAAATAAAAGTGGACAAGAGAAAAAGAAGGAAAAATTCTGTGTGACATATCAAATTATGATCAAAATCAAGGACCAAAATCAAGGCCAAAATCAAGGACCAAAATCAAGGACCAAAAAGTAAAACTAAGATAAATTAGAGCACAATAATCAATATACTCTAAAATTTTCCTTTTGAAGTCTAAATACTTCTCATCATAGATATGGACATTTTAAAAAGCCGTAAGAAAGATAACAAAAAGGCAGCTTTTTTTCTGAATATCTAAGTTTATCTCAGTTTATCTTTAAAAATCGCAATAAAGTTTTTACAGAAACTCAATTAACTTTTACAAATCATTGCAACATTAATGACTGAACAATATTGTTTACTTAATATTGTTTACTTACAATTGGAGACTTTTCATTCAAAATTTAACAAAGAATATGATGATAAATGCATCACATTCACAAGGAAGAAAATTGGAGAACAAGAAGAGTAGTGAAGAAAACATCTTTTATACTTTATACATTTTGTTAAAAATTAAAATTTGAAAACTAAACGTCAAAACAACTTACAATTGGAGCATGGTAGTTTTTACTGCATTCTATCTGACTGACCATAATGTTGTAAAACCTGAATTGTTAATGTTGATCACTCAAAATCCCCTCAAGTGCTACGGGCATGTGATTAAGCCTATTCCTGCTTGGGGGGGGGGGGTCAATTTGACCCCCCCCCTGTAGTTTTTTTTACATAACTCAAAAAGTATTGGTCTGAGGCTGTTGAAATTTTCTGACTTTTCTTACATACCCAAAGCCCTCCCTTTAGGCCTAAAACCGGGCTTTAATACTAACTGCCTGAGTCCTCAGGCACACTGCCTGAATGACTGCTTTTGCCTGTAACAAACTAAATCTTTGTTTTGACCCACTTTCACTTGTCAGATTTTGATAAAATTTAGCTTTTTGGAAAGCCTATGACAAAAGAAAACGGATTGCACAAGTTTTGCAAAAAAAAATTGCAAATTTTTTGCAAACAACCTGTTAAAGGAAATTTGCACATTTTTATTTTTTCTTGATTAAAAATCAGGTTATTTCAAATTTTGCAAAAATTTTTGCATATTTGAAATGGCATGGTCAAGGGCTTTTAAAAAATGTATAATTTTTCATTTTTTGGAAAAAAATTTTATTGCAAACATTTTTACTATAAAACTGGATTTTGCGATAAAAAATTCAATTTTCGCAAATTTGCAATTTTTTTTGCAGATTCTAAAAGTAGAGCACAAGAGCTTTCTAATGACGTATCATTTGCCATATTTGGACATAAAAAATGGGATTTAGAGGGGGGGTCAAATTGACCCCTCCCCCCAGCGTATCCTGGTTTTAAAGTACCCCAGCAGGGATAGGGTTAAAAGGTTTTATATACAGGATTACCCACAATGAATGATACTGTAATGACGACCTTAAACTACAAAAATAAAAAGATTCTGTCTTGCATATAAAAACAAGTTTACAGTTGCAGAGAACCATAAATATAAGAAAAACACTGATTAAATTCTTTATAGTCGTTTCCAAAGTCTCATCCTTTATGAGCAACCCTGTATGTCATATTGAGGTGTACTTGAAGTTTGGAGAGATCCACAGTTATAGAGCTTGGCAATTTTTATAATCTATACTAAACCATTTGGAAAATAAGGATAGTTTACCTTTCTTTACTAGCTTGGTTATTAGCATCAAAACTCATTGTCATTTTAGCAAAACTTGGACTGGCAGCGCTGGTTCCCATATCAATATATACTAAACAAACAGGTTCCCATATCAATATATACTAAACAAACAGGTTCCCATATCAATATATACAAAACAAACAGGTTACCATATCAATATATACTAAACAAACAGGTTCCCATACCAATATATACTAAACAAACAGGTTCCTATATCAATATATACTAAACAAACTGGTTCCCTCATCAATTTATACTAAACAAACTGGTTCCCATATCAATATATACTAAACAAACTGGTTACCATATCAATATATACTAAACAAACAGGTTCCCATATCAATATATACAAAACAAACAGATATCAATATATACTAAACAAACTGGTTCCCATATCAATATATACTAAACAAACAGGTTCCTATATCAAGATATACTAAACAAACTGGTTCCCTCATCAATTTATACTAAACAAACTGGTTCCCATATCAATATATACTAAACAAACTGGTTACCATATCAATATATACTAAACAAACTGGTTCCCATATTAATATATGCTAAACAAACTGGTTCCCATATCAATTTAAACTAAACAAACTGGTTCCCATATCAATATATACTAAACAAACTGGTTCCCATATCAATATACACTAAACAAACTGGTTCCCATATTAATATATACTAAAAAAACTGGCTCCCATATCAGTATATACTAAACAAACTGGTAACCATATCAATATATACTAAAAAAAACTAGCTCCCATATCAGTATATATACCGAACAAACTGGTTCCCATATCAATATATACTAAACAAACTGGTTCCCATATCAATATATACTGAACAAATATATCAAATGTATATTTACACTGAAGGCAGTATTGATTAAAGCTATTTAATGAAGATTTTTAGTTAAGGGCAAAAGTGAGATTTTAAAGTAATTTTTTTATCGATCCCACGCTTAGGGGGGTCTGGGGCCAGCCCCCCCCCCTGTACGCCCCTGCTGTCTTGCCCCTTTTATGTAAGAATAGTTTAAAGTTAAAATAAGTGTATCTGACATTAAAAAAAACTATAAAGAATGTAAAAGACGGAAAAAGAGTGAAAAGACGTAAAAAAAACTTAAAAACACCTAAAAACTTTTAAATACAAAAGTTATGAAAAGACGTTACAAAGACGTAAAAAGACAGAAATAAACATTAAAAAAACAAAAAACTTTAAAAGACGTAAAAACATAAAAGAGGAAAGAGAGAAATTAAAAAGTAAAACACATAATAATAGTTGTGACCTACCATGCTGGCCAGGATTGTATCCACACAAGTTTATTCCATTTGTTTTTGCTCCTACAAACAAGAAATTCTAGGGGATTGCATGATTTTTCTTCTTCTTATAAAATTAGGAAATTAAAAACGTGTTTTCTAAAGTAAGTTTATTGTCTCCTTTTGTGTCTATCAACAAGGTCAGTAAAAAAGATGTTAAATTTTGAAAAAAATTGTAAATTATGTCATTATTGCATTCCAAAATGTTTGTGTAATTTTGGTCAGAAAGCTGAACTTGTGTAAAATGCGCAGTTTTCTTGCTACGATTTCTAAATTCCGATGGAAACCATCATAGAAAATAATCACTTTCCCACATTACCAGACAACGTCAATGCAAGGTCAGAACTACGTCACTCAGAAAGTGGGAATATTTTACCTGCGGGGGTAAAAGTAACCCAATCTGTGTCTGCGCTACATTCCTGAACAAAAAAATAAATCCAATCATTGATCTATCGTTCCATAAAAATCTGCTAGAGAATAAAAAAAAATTTAATTTATTAACATGGAATTTTCGTGTAGGGTTTAATTTTTAAGAAAACTAACTCCAATTGTAAGAGTCTAAATCTTAAGTACTTTCCAGTGATTTCACTCAAACTTTATTTTAAAGAGGATTGAAACCAACGAGGTTATAGTAACTTGAATTTCCTCATATAGATATAAGAAGGGCCCGGCGTTGCCCGTGGAAAAAACAAATTTTGAAATTTTTTTAAAATCTATTTATTTTTCTATAGTCTTTTACCCCCAGGCTACCCTATGAGTGTCCACAAAAAATGTCAGCCCATTCGGTGCAGCCGTTTTACCGGCTATAGGGGGTATATAATTTAATGTCTCGTTTTATTATATAGAAAGATACAAATACTAACCAACTGACCACTGCCCTTGAAGGGTCCTCCTAAATCAAAGACAGGGAAATCAAACCGTAACTAAAAACAACTAGTATAAGAAAGTGGTTTTTTGATTATGGTGAATTATAATTTTTGTAAAACTTTTTACTAAATTTTTTTGAATGTTATAAATAGCTTATTAAAAAGTGTAATTTTTTCTTCTTTTTTACCTGGCATACGTCACTGTTAATTCTATAAATGTTAAAGGTGCAAATTCTATCCGAACTAAAAATAGAACAGAATAGTTTACAAACTCAAAAAATGTTTTCTAATTAGAATAACAAATGGATGAAGTTTAAAAAAAATATATTTAACATTTTTTTAATGTCAAAACATCTGATTGCTCATCAGTGATTTCTGGCTTTCTGGGGTGGAGTAAATATCTATTTGACGCCAGTTCTAGTTATGTCACTGAAGTTAAGCACTCTTATCCACTGCCAGTAACTGGATTGGTGTCCAGTCTGGTGTTCACAGGTTCGATTCCCGTACTCCACCTATAACCCTATGCTTTCAGAAAAAATTTGATGCCTACGTCTGGTTAAGCAGTTATGACCACCTGATGGATGTAGGAGGGCAGAGGGGCGACTGTCAACATCTCTGGCAGCGAAAGGGTGTGTGCTTACTACTCAACAAGAACGAATCTTTAAGTGGATTGATCTAAGTGAATGATGATGAAAAGAAGAAAGGTGGACAAGCAGGGAGAGTCTACGATTGCCATGTATGTGGAGGTATCCAATCCGGGCTTACAAATTATTGAGAGTAATGTTTCCTGTCTATAAGGCACCCGAGCCTCATTCCAGTATGAAGAATTCCTGCACTCTATTATTCTCAGGCCTAAGAAGTTCTTGAGCATCTGGATTCTTGTCAACCCTCTTCTCAGTATGAATGAAGCGTGGATGGATGAATGTGCTGCCAGATTACAACCCCTGGTAAATCAATAAAAACCCATAGAGCACCAAACCTTTGCAACAGAAAAAATTCCAAGATTTGATCGTAACAACTACTTATACAGCCATAATCTGATCCTCATAAAACTGTGGAATAGGAAAACCATATTTAAACAATCTTTTTGTTTATTAGATGTTGTTACAATAGTAGCTTAAAAATAAGTTAATCATTTACTCTACCATTTCATATTTTTTCTTTCTTTTTTCCATCTAAATGATTGAACTATAGATATTGAATTTCTAATATTAATACTGTGAACTCTGTTGAAAAAGTTGTTAAGAATTTCGAGCAAAGTGTTATAGTTACCTAACAGAGAAAGCAGAAGGGTATCCTGGGTTTTGAATATAAGTCTGGTTTCGTGTTATTTCACCTCCACAGGTTGAAATGGAATCTATCGGAGAAAAAATTTTCATGCAAAAGTTTTTTGTTACGAAACATTCCAACCCATCGGTACCCTTAATAATAGCTTTGTTTGATCAAGTATGAATTCGATATCAATGTTATGATTTTGAAAACTGATTATTTCAAATTGTGGTTTCTTTACAAAAGATAAATGCGTATTTCTACTGCAGAATCTAGAATATCGTTGCGTACATTGCCATATTTACATGGACGGTCATAATTACGTTTAAAGTTAATTTAATCCTCTTTATCCTCTACAAAAATTTCTCCTTCTGAAGATTAACTACAAAATTTAAAATCTTAAAGGGAATGTCTGCGTAATTTCAAGTGCCCCTCCATGATTTACAACGGTAACCTTAAAACCTTTAACTGTTCATTGAGTAAAGAAGGCTCTGTCTTTAATCAAATCTATTGAAAACCTCTTGAATTTCGGTAAAAACGCGGTGTACGCTGTGTAGAAAGTAAATTTTGATATTTCTAAAATTGAAAACAAATAAAGTGTTCAGCAGTTTTTAAAGATTAATGAAAACAGCCTCGATTTAAGGGTACCGATGTGAATTAGACGTATGCCATCTTTGTGTGGAATGTCACTTGAAATTATGTTACAGTCCCTTTAAATCTGTTCATCCTCTTTAAAACTTTCTTCTTCTGAAAAATTACTGCAACATTTTTAACATCAAAAACTAAAAGTTTCAGCTTTGGTTAAACCACGGACCAGCTAGACTGAATGGGATTTACTAAGTTTTATGCATTCACTGCTCTTCACAGCGGCCAGCGGGTCCAGTTGGTTTGTTATGGAGCAAAAATCCAATTTTCTTTCTTAAAGCCAATTGTGAATTTTTAAATGAACGTTGTGTTTTCGAGCTTCTTCAAACCGACTTATTCGCCCCGTACGTGTCAACCCTGTAACCTGGATAGTTTTGCTATGGGTTAAACTTACAGAAGCAGCAGATTCCGAAGTTCTGAGCACATGTTCCTTGATTTTGCCCTCCAGTTCCAATACACGCACTGCACAGGAACAACTTAGTGTACTGGTACTCTATAGTTTGTATATATAGTTTTAGGATTGTACTCAGCACATATCGTTTTATCACATGCAATGTAAAGACTTTTGTAACTGTATAGTACTTAGTACATTGTTTAATAGTGTACGGTTCTCATTTCATATCGTTTTTATAGTTTACAAGGTTTAAATAGTTTGTATTTTGTACTCGGGTTGTACAAGCACTGTACACTTGCAGGCTAAATTTAGTGTGCTATAATCTGTAGTCTGTACATATAGTTTTATTGCAGTGTTGTGTATAAGATTGAATTAATGAACTGTACTTTGTAAATAATGTTGTCTTACAGTGTAAAGGCTCATTTAGTGTATTGTACATATTAATCATATTTTTATAGTGTACAGGATTGATTTAGTGTACTGTACTCAATACATATATTGTTTATTAGAGTTTACAGCCTGGGTTCATTTAGTGTTAATTGATAATTCTGTAATTCTTTTTATATACAATTACTGTTTCGCACGCATTTGTGCGAGTGGATTGACGCCCCTGTGGGTATATGAGTTGTGACGGCCCTGGAAGTTGTGTGCGTATAAGGAGTATGGATGAAGCAGAAAACTGGTTTTTTGTACTGTATAGGCAGCTGCCGGGTTTAGTACTACTCAGTGTTGGATCAGTTCTCTAGTAATAAGCATATACGTAGTTTTAGTGTTGTAAAATGCATATTTTTATCGACGAGAATAAGCTTAAATGGCTTTAATGTTTCAGAATTGAAAAGGTTTTGACGAGTATAGTTTTTTCTGATTTTTAACTAGAGATCTTGCCAGTCACGTTGAGGTTAGTACTAAACTAGGGGTTACCATTGTAAATACGGTTCCTTTTTTAGTCATTCAATATTTTTTAGCCCGACATGAAGATTTTTTACCAACTGGGCTCCTTTTATTTATATGAACGTTTGATATAATTGTAAATATTCCTTTTAGTCATACAGTATTTTTTCTCTGGTAGTAAGATAGTTTCTCTTGTTCAGATTGAATCCTTCAACCTGTTTTACTTCCAGAGAGGAATATGGGAGATAAATACAGGGATTCCAATCCCCCTAGCAAGAGGATTCTTAGGTAAAAATTAGAAAGGTTTTGAATATTGCTTTGTTATGAGCTAAGCCTAGGCGTAGCGAAACATTCAATCTCAACTTCTGATAAAGGGGCCAAGAGTAAAGCCTTGTTACCAGGGGTTATAATGCCTGTGAATAGGGGTAATTCAAGGGAGGGGGGAAGGAGAAGGTCTGCATCTGAGAGCGATGGGGATCATCTTAATGCTTCGTCCAACCCTGCCCCTAATCCTACTGATTTTAATGACGATTCGCCGAATCTGAGTAAATGTATTTCCACTCCTAATGTCAACAATACGGGGTTTATAGACGATTCCTATAGAAATAGTTTTGGGACTAGACTCGAAACCCGTCCTGTAACTAGACTACAGACCAGAAGGGAGAACGATAACCAAACTGTTCGAACCAATCAGCATAGGGATGAGTTCACGACCATGAAGGGAAGGGTGTATGAGTGGGTTCATAAAATTTCTAGTTCGGTTATATCAATAGATGTCATTAAAAATGATCATAGTTTGTTTTGTACCGAAATAGATCACTTGATATCTGAAATCCTATTGGGGAGGGGGGATTTTTCTTTAGTGGGAGAATTTGGTAATCTTAAAGATAAGTTAGATGCCGCAAAGAGAGAAGCAATCCAGACTGCTAGAGAATCCATTTCCAGGGTTCCCTCTTCTACACCAATTAATCAGGGTCCGAGCACCATCAACAGCTTCAGCAACACTAGGACCTCTAATCTTGATGATGTTTTCAATGCCAATGATGAAATAGATAAAGGGGGGGGGGGTAAACAGAGAGTAAATTTGTCAAATATACCCGATCCCTCTAATACTAGTAGTTCCAACACCGTAGTGGGTAGGGATATGCGATCTAATATTATATTGGATCACAATTCCCCCAGACACAGGGAGGTTCTGAATCCCGATATTGATCCGATGAGTAATGATTATGTGAGAAATGGTCAAACTTTGCTGGGGATTCTTGATAATCTTTCGGGGACTAATGGGAATATTGATCCCACATTCCGAATCATAGCCAATTATATGGATTCCTGGGTAAATAATATCACTTCTGAGAATAGTATCCATGCAAGTCATTTAAGTAGACTAGATCGTACTGTCTCTTCAGTTAATGAATCTTTAGAGGGTGCCAGGATACAATTTCACAAATTAAGCGTAGAGTTTAGTGGTGTGAAGGATGCTGTATCTAGTAATAAGTCTGCCTTGGAAAGTTTAGATCAGAGATGCTCTTATCTAGAGATAGGATTAAGCAATGCAAGAAGGGATATAAATGATGAATTCTCTACTGTACAATTATGGATTGATGACTTCAGACTCCAATCCAATGCTCCAGTTCCTAGAGAAGTAGTGGATTCTTTACAAGAGGTAATCAATGACAGCGCTCCTGGTCTGGCTGTCGAATCTATGAGAGGAGAGGTTAGAGAACTTAGGAAAACGATCCGAGCAGAGAAACATGTAACAGAAGGGTTACGTAACCTAGTAGTAGGATTGGCTGAGCAAATAGATAGAGTTTCTGTAGTATCACATCCTGAACCTGCCCCTACTCCAGGTCCGCAGAATAGATCTTCTATAGGAGCAGCTAGAGAGAGGGAGATTGTGAGAAAAGGAATAGAGAGACTTGAAAAGCAGATAGAACAACTTATCCGGGTCAATGTATCGTCTGAAATTATAGATATAGCCTTAATTAAGAAGTGTAAGACAGTAGATGTTCCTGGAATCCATTCTGCAGTAGGACATATTCAGAAATCTCTACAGAAATACGTCAATTTTCAAGGTATGGATGAAATATACTGCGACACCATCACTGATTTATTGGATAGAGCCGAGACCTGGTGTAGAAGGGTAGAAGAGTTATATAATGAGGCTGAAGTACATTCAATAAATTCATCTAGAGGTGATGCTACTGAGGTAGGAATCTTCTCCGATAATTCAAAGGTCACTGTTTACGAGTTCTTGGAGTTAGCAGAACTGGCTTATCTAGGATGGGGTAACTCAGTACAGAAGGCGAACAGATTATACAATAAACATTTATCTGAAGAGATTAAGGGTAAACTAATAAATAAGTCTGATTCTTATCAAGATATGAAGCAATGGCTTATTCTCCATTATGGGGGGGCTTCCAGAATTGTCAATGATATTGTTTCTAATTTATCTTCAAAACCTAAACCTGAATATGGGAGTATAGGGGATAAATACAATTATTATGCAGCTATCACTAGTGCTCTTGAGCTTGAGTTAGATACATGCCTGTACTCAAACAGTACTGTGAGCTCTCTGTCCAGACTCCTTCTTCATCAGGATCATAATGCTTGGGTTCGAGAAATGACCAAAAGAGATTTGGATTTCAAGAATCCCGTCGGATATGATGCTTTCCTTTGTTTTAAGCAGATCTGTATACAGGAGAGGAACACTAATGAAGTTTCAAGAGCGGATAAAGGAGGTTCTTCGCCAAAGAGCAAGAACAAGAGCAGATCTACCCACAAGGTTCAAGCGATAGATGAGAGTAGTTCTGATGATGATGTCCCTGCTAGCTCTCATAATACAAATTTCCACAACAAGCAATGGTATCCTGCTCATT